CTACTAACGAGTGGAAGTGGATCTTCGATTCGATTTGCACTTTTGTTGAGGACGGTATTTCTTGTTGCAGTGTTGCGGTAGACGATTATTATTGTGTGATTTGTACACTGCTACTTAAATTTCTTTATTGAACTGAAACTGCAGACCTCAACTGAAACTAGAATTTACGTGATGAGAAAAGCAGGAAGGTGTAAAAGTAAAATGTGCATGTATGCTGAGGACGTTTTCCTCGACGTCTCTCAACAATCCGTCATATCTCCACCGGTTTACTCTTTAATTCGGCATTTGATATTCAGTTAGGCTCTCAGTTTTCTCTTTAGAGTCCCCCTTGCAGGAAGTCTCCTAGTTTTGATACGAAATTTCGGTCCCAAGCGTACATAATTTTGTGATTTTCTGATAAATATTTGCAATCAATATGCATCAAACCATATTGAAATATAAAGGTAAGAAATTTGTGCTATACATACGTAATATATCGATTACAACAAGGTTTTCTTGTAGGTAGTGCGGTAGTATTTCCAGTAGTTGATATATGCATGCTTCTGTATTAAGCGCTTCACCCCTATTTTTGCATGTTAATGAACCGTTAGGTAAGTACATGTGTACTTATTTCACGGTTTCTGGAACTCACTGGTATTTTCCAATTTACAAAGTACAAACGATAAATATTACATGAGACTGGTCCAACAAGTTTGATGCCATTCTAAATAATTAGTTAGTTTCTTATATTACGACATAGTCCTTTGAAAATTGTTCTATGTATAAATCCGCTACGATGAGCTGAGTATTTTGCTCTGTTTTATTTACAATATTTTTCCAGACAACTTTTGTACATAATAGCGATTCTATCATCGAATTGAAAGGGGTTCTTACAATATCAATTCCTAGTCTATAATTTAGAACTTCTAATACCCCATTATGTCTTCCGTTTGATTTTTAATGAGCACGCAAATGGACATAGCGTAAATTCTAACTATATTCTAACTATTTTTACATATATTGTGGATCAACAGTAAAATAAACTTCCTACTATTTTGTTAGTTTGAAAAGGTCGATAACTTATTCGTAGTTTTCCATGTCCATGATTGCAATATTTTATTCGCAGTACGTGCATAATTTATGTGTGTGTGTGTGGCCAGTACATATATACATACATCCATACTTATTGTATACATTTGTATAAATGTACAAAAATTTGGAAACGTTTATCTTAAGATTTGTGGATATGCTTAGTGTTGGTTATAAAAAGTTAACCTGTACTATCCATTAAAATACTGACCAGCAAAAAAATTCAAATACATACATATGATAATTAAGGTTGTTGCAAAGTAGTCATTACTTTTTTACATGTTATTCCCTCAAATAAGAAGTCCGTCCTCCTCGTAAGAATTTTTATGTGGTGTACTCGAGAAGAGTGTATCAGAGAGATACAAAATTTATGGAGCTTGCTCATATCAAAATCCGCTATTACACGGAGATAGCCGTTCCTCCGTCAATCAGCAATTTGGTTTATTGCATGGACTTGCGTTTCCAAATTTTTCGTTACGTGAAAATAGATTTGTTCCATTAGACAAGTGGACATTGATTGATCTGGCCACCAATAGACTTGGAAGGCTTGTATATAAATTAGATTGACGGCCATACCTATAGAGATAGAAGATGAAGAGGAGTGTTCATTGGAAATTTATATACGACTCTTCCAGGCGCTGCTATGTGCATAACGTACACCCTTTGCCTTGAACAAGATATATTGCCTAATTTAATGACCGAAAAAAGTAGAGCGGATGGTTGATTTCATGCTAATGTTTTTCAAACTTGTCTGATTCAGCAGCAGTTGACATTAGACCAATGAGCAGGAATAATCAGTCTGGAATTTTGTGAATAATAATATTAAGGTACAACTGTCATCCGATTTTTCTGAAATCTTGCTTTGCCTACATAAACACATTTGCATCAGCTAAACAACAGCATTAGAGAGGAACGTGCAAAATTTAGTATTTTATTTTCCAAAATTCGACCTTCACCTCTTGATGCCCTTTAACTTTGTGAGATTTTTTACTTGGAGTCGTACTTACAGCTTTACAACGTCAAACTGCTAATCTAATTAGCAAAATACTCTGATACATACAGGTACACGTTATGGGATTTTAGCATAAATGTTTGTACGTGGAGAATCTAGCGAATTTGCCCTATTTCAATTTTGTTTGCGCAAGTAGTAGAATTTCTAGTTTTTGCAACAATAAAACAATCTCATTGATGTTGAATGTAAAATATTGAATGTAGGTGAAGACGCATAGATTGTGTATATTCAACCTGACGCAAAAGACGTCTTTTGCATCAGGTTGAATACGCCGATAATGCAATTAAACTATATAGTGATCCACCCACCTTGTTAAAACAATGACTTGTGCCCCTTATTAAATTTCCTAAATGTCAGGGACACTTGTTGACTCAGCAATTATGTATGTGCGGTCAATAGATGCGTAAACAGGTTGCAAGTATTTGCATTGGCGTCGATACATGTTTATCATAACCTTCCAATGGCTGGAATCATTTAATTTGGATTGCATAGATACGTACCAATGATTTGCAACAACCTGCCAAAGTAAACGTGCAGCTCACCGACCGGTATCAATCAGAAAACGTGTTAAGCAGAATAAGAGTCAATCATTGCAAGTGGCATTCCAGAGAATCTGAGTACGACACATTGGACTTTTGTTATCTACGTAAATCTGTTGAACCGCATAAATAATACTCGTTCACGCCGAGTGCATCTTTTCGTATTATGTCACCAGTCCAATTACCAACCTGCAAACTTATTTGACAGTCCAATGCAACACCTTGGACTCGTAATTGTTTGAAATTTCTGATAAATTATTTCCAATTATTAACTTTACCTTCCACTATTTTAAAGGGGTTTTGTAATTTATATGAACTGGCTAAACTTTTCAAGTTTATTAGATTAGGAACAACTTGCAATTGTTGGCTTATCCTAATAAACTGATGTGCTAAATCAGTGATATAGTTCTTCAAAATTGTGCCAATTTCTGTTAGGATATTGAAAATATCTAGAAATTATTGGATAATTATTGGACAACGGTGAGTACAAAGTTTAGAATCACAGTCTTTTTAAATCGTTTTTACATAGCTATGCGTATCAATCGTACGTATTTGTATTCATTATGCAAACGTGACACCATGTCGGTCAAAGGTTAGACAATTACCCAACCACACAAGATACTCGTTATATTAAAGCATGGAAATTGAAGTCGTCATGATTATTAATACCAAAGACATTATTGTAAGTGTCTGGCACGTAGCAGGTTAAAAATTAGTTCAGATGCACCAATTTCTTCACCCCCATTGATACATGATCATCAGACTTCAATGAATGAAGTCAGTGGTCGTATAAACAAGTCCATATGTATCTATTCATAAGTGTGTCTAGAGTTAAAATTATTTATTTGCGAATAATTTGTATGTAAAATGTCTATGATTCTGTCTAGCAGTTAGTTGTGAATAAAAATATGTATGTATGTATCCATGTACATGCGTATACATATCGCCGGCTTATCGTTAGTAGGGTACTGTGTTTTTTTGTATATTTTGTCAATAGATTGGAAAACATACTCTACAAATCCATATAAATACGGAAAATTAATAGATGCTTCAAAGTGGATAGTGGATTAATGCTAAAAGCCTTGTTGATACATGTCCTTAACACACAAATGGCACTAACAAATTACGCCCCACAAAAGTAGTATAAAGCAATACCTTCAATAATACCCACCAAATAAAAACTTTTCCATGCGCTGGTAGAGCACAATGCATACATATTTTGCAATGCTATGCTACATATGCAGCTAAATATGTACTGCAGGGTTAGCTGGTCAGGTTTGACCATCACGGAAAGCTTTTTCCGCATGTACCACACAGAATTTCATGCACAATATCCACACTCTATCTATAATATGTGTCTAAGGTTATTTGATGGCATCAGAATGCGTCGTCGTCGTCCTCAACTAGTGTTTAGGAGTTGTTGGATAATGTTATGTTATCGTGTGAGTTCTATTCCATTTAACAAGTCGCATTCAGCAAGTTATCTCTCTGTGGTCTCACTTTCATTCAGTCTTAGGTAACCCGAGCGTGCAAATTCATTTGACTTTAGCTGCAAATTCTGATTGCCTGTACTACTAGATACCACCACTAATAATGCAATCTTAATATTGCCGTCATATTGGCGATTGGGGGATCTCTCTCACTCTGAAAGGCTCGTTCAGGGATATTTGCTATCTGTACAATATAAAGTTATTAAGTCTGCGCAGTTCCTTGCAAGAAACTCATCTTAGCTCAGCTCTCTGATTTGCATAATATACAAGACTCCCCATTCCCATAATCTCATAAATAAACCACTTCCACATGCAGTCAAAATCCGGATGAAAGAGTGTTTTGTCATAAAGTGTCTCCTCGCTCTGTTCAGTGCTGCTTGTGCTTAGGGTGAGATAAGAATAGAAAATAGTTTATAAATAAAAAGCGTACGGCAACCTCCACTATCACTGCTCAACACTCGTTACTTTGGAACACATCTCTCTCTCTCTACACAAAAAGTTCACGGCATTGATATCGTACTTACTTTGGTACGTGGATTCAACAACCTGAGAATTCAAAGAGATATACACACTTTTTTACACGCAATCTTTCCATTCCTTCCTCGCAGTGCATATTCGCTCGTCAACTTATTGAATCCTGACATTTGGTTAGAAACTGTGCCGTGAATATTTTGGTGACTTTTTCTGAATGCCACAAGTGGGTTTTTGAGGTTTTATGTAGTTTTCAGTGTGTGATACTTGTAAGTAAATCATGAAATTAGTTGGAAGATAATATTCTGAAATTTACTTCATTTTGTGGTGAACTTTAGGATAATTTGTGCGCGATAAAAAGAGTGACGCTTGACATCGTTCAGCAGATTTTTGACCATATTTATGCCTTCAGGTCAGAGGGTCAGAGTAACCATAATTTCGCACAATTAACCTATAAGCTGTCTCGTTATCATTTACTGACGCATTAAACCATATATTTCTTATTACACATGATCTAATATTTTAAATGCCAATACATTTTGGTTGTGGTTGTGGTTAATACGTACAAATACAAAATCTTTATCATGCTTTAGTGGCTTTCACCCTGTTCATAACTGAATTTATGCCAAACGCATCAAAAGCTCGGCGTTTCTCACTTCATAGTAAAAGTCCTGAGAAATCTTTACGACAAGCACGAATGAAAAATGATGCCAATTCAAACGGGGCTCATGTTTTAAAACAACCTCGACGCATTTCTTATAACGCTTTAGCACGGTCCAAAAATTCCATCGACATTTCTGCATCAAAAGGGGACGCGAGCAGTAAAGGAGTAAAAAATGGTGCAAATGTCACAGAAAAAAATGATGACAACTCTCAGAGTGTTAAAACTTTGGTCATTCCATATTCGTACAATGAACGGGAAGCAAACGTTACGAGAGGTTATCAAATCACATCGAGTTTTGCTCCAGTTCCTTCGAAAGTGCACCATCAGTTGACTGCATCTTCAGAGGCAAACAACGAGGAAGCTGCATTGAACTCATTTTATGCTTCTTCTCAACAACTAAAACATTCCATATTTTCCACTAACTTTCTTGTACATGGCTTGAACTTTGAAACGAATAAAAACAACAAAGAGTTGCTTGATTCTGAACCTGCTTCTAACAGCTTGAGAGAAAGGATGGATTCCGGATCTCGAGCTGCACATTGGTGGCAGCGTAACAGAAGTGTGTCTCAATTTATTAGTACAAATTCTTATAAAATTCACTCTCCTTATTAACAGCAGACGCATTGGCGATGGCCACCATACAGTTGAAGATGCCGAGGAAGGACATATGGAGGTAAGTGATGAAAAAAAAATTTTTTTTTGACTTGACTGGCTTGATGAATAATTTCATGCGAGGCTTGCATATGGTTGATTTAAGGTAAGTTGTTAACTAGTTCGATGCTCCAACTAATCAGCAGCAAGTTCCGTTGTGAATGGTTTGCAGGGAAGTTGAACTTTGTCATTACGCAAATGAAACTTGATTTGAGTAGTAACTGGATCTCTAAAGATGATCTGCTATTCTTGTTTCACGATTATTTACTTGCTTCTGGATACTGTAATGTGAACATAAGGGACACATGAAAAACTGGAGCATCACAGTGTGACGATCACAGGAGAAACTCGTGTGAATATATCTCATGACTAATTAATCTCAACTTCCTGAAAACAGTAACTTTGAGAGACATGCATGGATGCATAAATGCAAATTTTATCAAAGTCTTGTCATTTTCAACTTTTACAACGTCAATTTTGCTGGACACAAGCAATTTCCTTTCAATAAAATCTCACACGCTCCTGGTTCAAGCTCAAGTGCCAATGTCAGGGGAAAATTATCAAGGTGTTTTCTCATCATTGAAAAATGTGCATGTATCTATACAAATATGTGTATGTGTACAAGTACATAAATAGATAATCCTATTTCTTCATCTGCTACAGGAATAACCAAAATCACATTTTCATATTCTGATTTAAGGTTATTTTATTACCTCTACCTGCAACGCAACGTCTCATTAACTCTTCTTCGAGACCATCCACGGACTCTTTTTGACTTATCTAAAAGAATGAAATAATACGAACAAATGTCTGCTTTGCTTATATATATTTACTTCAAATTGTAATATAACTATAATGTTATGACGAGTTGTGTGTCAAGTGTGGAAATGGCTTGACACATAAACAGTCAGTATACATTCATATAATACTTTTTGTATGTCTGGCATAGGGCCCTAATTGCCGAACTTATCGGAACATGCTTGCTTATCATCATGGGCTGTGGAAGCATTCTTAGTCTCACCACCCCCAAGGCTTTGGACCTCACAGGAATCGGACTCTGCTGGGGGATGACGGTAGCAACATTAGCCCAGGTGAGGTACCAACCTGAACGGTTGTACAGTCAATCTATCGAGTATTCTGTAATTTTAAACTCATGGCAAGCAAAGTTGAAATTAATATGTATATTATTACTGGGTATTAATTTTAAGTACACACACACACATATACCGTGTTGGAAGCAATAATTTTGCAGTAATCAATCAATCAAGAATCAGTCATTGGTTGAATTTGACAAGTTTTTACGAAGCGAATATGGATGGCGTAGAGATTAGATCATGGCATTTTATGTCCATTTATGTATTAATAAAAAAAACACGGTTTCCTCGTTCTACACAATTTCTGCGAACGAACGGAACACTTGGTTTGATATGTTCCAATTTATTACCTTCCTTCCATTTCTTTCAGTTTAGACAAAAACTTATCCATGGTCATCTACATAGAGCCAGTTGTCGAGCGTTGGCGCGCATCAATTAACGAGCAGTTAACGTTTATTGCTCGATCTATGCACAAATCTTTGACATTTATGTCAGGTTAAAGTTTTATGGTGTTGTTTCCGATTCAATTTAGCATACTTTTCATTGATAAATGAGAAAGGTAAATGGATTTTATTATTTTAGTTTTTACCTTGACAAATGATTCCTTACTGGAATATTTTCAGCTTTTCCATTAATATGGACAATAATTTTTATTTTATGAATATTATCTCTCCTCCATTTAAAGTAATATGCACGCAAATAATGTGTACAAATAAATATCTTGAAGTCTGAAGTCTGAAGTCGAAGTCTGAAGGCAGACAGAAAACGCAATTAATTCCACTATTCATCAAAAAATATAAGATTGACTACTGTTATTATTCAAATCGCTTGTACTCCATTCCATGTAAATGGAGTACAAGCAAGTTCAATGCAACTTGGTAGTCATTGCTTCTCCTCATTACCAAGGCATGCAGTTGTGCATTTTAGAGAACAATTAATTTTATGGTCATTATCGATTCATTTAGAACCTGTGTGCATTAGATGAAGTGTTGATTGTGATTGTGGTGTTGTAGGTTATTCTAATAATGATTGCAAGCCGACATATTTGTTTAATTGCGTGAGCAGGTACGATGACAAACGAATTTTTAAGATACAATTCCCCAAGTAATAAATTGGACGTGAATTGTACAAAATGTTGAAAATTATGCTGGTGCCAATGTGTCTGGCGTTCATATTGAATTAATTTAAATTTACATCACTTTTCGATTTAATTAATTCAGTGCAATAGATTGAACTTGAATGAGTACTTATATGTACACAGTAAATAATTCCTTCAATTTTGATAGCCTTTATTATTGTTATTATCGCTGTGCAAATGTGTTGTATGTATTGCTATTTCGACTCTTAAACTTTTTAAAGAAGGGCAGGGTGCACATCTTAAAAACAATAAAAGGTAGCATCATCTACCACATCGGATCTTAAGACAATGGATATGAAACTGTTAAATTATTAGAGTTTAAGTGTGATACAATATCAAATCCCATAATGTAATGTACCTATGAAATGACAATTATAAATGTGCTTTCATAAGTGCACTTGTTCATATTTGGAATTATGATAATTTATAAAGGAGACATGTTATCGCGATAACCTTTCAAATTGAATTGACCGTATAAATGACTCGATTCGACATCGATATGCCATTGCACCTGAGTACATATACCCATATATACATATGTATGTCCATGCTAAAAAATTAACATACATTATATTTTTTAGACTCTTGGGCATGTCAGTGGATGTCACATGAACCCAGCCGTCAGTTTGGCGATGATGGTCACAGGCAAACTGCAGCTAATCAAAGCCGGACTTTACATTGGAGCACAGTGTATTGGAGCAATGATGGGGGCTGCGGTATTAAAGGTAATTTTTTTTTGCAAGGTTCAAACCTACCATTACATAATTATACTTAACTGTCTAAAAGTTAAGTAAAAATTGTACTGGTGTGAAAGATATACTTATGATCCAGAATTGACACGCAGAAGTACATTTATATAAATGGTTCTGCTTACATTAAGCTATCCACGAGGCAAAAATTTACCAAAATTTGTGTATTGAATAGATATATTGTCACATAGAGTGTCGGCATATTTTTAAAGGTGATCATGCAGCAGCCATTCATTCCTAAACTGTTATACATACACGTACAGACAAGAAGAGTCCGTCATCCATCAAAGGTTATTTACATTAGCTCCCTTTCTCAATATCGAAATATCACACACACCCTCCTCGCCTTCATTGTCAACTTCTGCGACGGTAATGAAGATAAAGTTTGGACTATTGTGTAACATAGAGTTTTTGCGAGTCTTTGATTTAAGACTTGGATTTGGACTTCAGGGCAGGTCAAGGTTTTGGGCTGGCAACTCATTCATTCAGTGATCAGCAGCAGCAGCAACCCACGTACATGCAGACTTTCAACATGGCATATGTACTTTTATTGTGAAGTGGTCAGAGTACCACCGAAGCCAATCTGCCTGATCCTTCTTATTGCCTTGCTTATACTTGATGCTGTCTTGATGGGCGTAAAATGCTTTATTAACAGAAATGCAAATTGAGATTGACAAGGTTTGCTGATTGTGTTAATGAAGCGCAAGTAAAATGCTTCCATATCAAAATATCAATCGACTAGAGTTATTATATTTTGTGTATGTATGTAGCTCTACGTGTGTGTGAACTTAGCTGGTTTATCTGCATGTTGAGTGACACAATGCAATTGTTTCCTTCCTTCCTAATTATAGACATTAACTAAACTCAGGATTAATTAAACGCAAGCTTATGTAAGGTATAAAATTCTGTGGCTACGCTACATGCATATTCAGTTTGAGATTTATGCTGGAAATATTACCAACTAACTTCCTATTTAGACTTTTGTTCAAAATTGCATAAAAAATACCTAGAAAAATTCAAGCTCAATTTCCTATTGCATGCAACAGGTTATGTATGTCCATTTTAATTGCTAGTTTAGCTCCAGTATTTTAATTTCTGTACAGCCTTCGCGTATTCATAAATGACAACCGTGCAAAATGCAAACTCAATCATCTGGATTAGTTTCAGACTTCAACTTGGAATCACAACGTCGATTTTGATAACCTAGAAATTCGACGACGCAATGAAAGTGAATGTACTGAGTCAACAATGGTAATGAAATGACTAATCTAAGTTTTCATGTGGTGCGTATATAGCAGCCCAACAGTGAAGTCTTTGTCAAACAAACCCTGATAATGTATGAGACGCATAACTCATTAAGCAAGTGCTTGAATTGTCAATCACCTCACCTTGTGCCTTCAGCAGCAGCTAATCCGCAGTTTACCTCCACTCCATTAAATAATTAACATTGGTCTATCTACACCCGTCAGTTGCTCGCCCTGTGTTATTAAGTTCGTTGAGCGGACACTTTGGTATTATCAATTAAGGCAGCCATAGGATTTTCATTTGTAGGATTCGTAATGGTAAATATGCGATGGAATCCGTCAAGTTTACCTACCTGTTCAATTTTCTAATTAATACTTGGAAAAATTGTCCAATGCCACTCGAGACATGGTCGTTCGAATGATGCGATGATGAATATGTACATAGAATAAAGAATAGTATATGTAAGACGTTGTAAAAATGTGGATACATAGAAGAATAGAAAAGTATTAAACGAATTTTCTTTATGATGCAGGCATTAACTCCCGACGAGATTGTGGGGGACTGGGGAATAACAAAGTTGGGTCCTGGAGTGACCCCCCTACAAGGATTTGGAATTGAGTTTGTCGCCACATTCGTTCTGCTTATGGTCATTTTTGGAGCAACTGATGAAAACAGGACGGATTTGAAGGGATCAGCTCCACTTGCCATTGGATTATGTATCACTGCACTTGTCCTGTTTTGCGTAAGTTGCAAAAATAAATATAATGTAAAATTATACTGGTGACACTGCAATTTTCTCTTCAGGGTCCCTTTACTGGTGCCAGGTGAGTAGAACAATTGGTTAGAATATTACTTATCAGGAAAGTAATTTCATTATAATTGCTGAATTATTTAGCATGAATCCCGCCCGCACATTAGGACCTTCAGTGGTTGCCTCGCATTTTGATAACCACTGGGTTTATGTAAGTGGTTAATGCAAGTCAATACATTTAAGTTAACGTACATACATAAGCTAATGAAAATGTGTTACGAAAGTGGATCGGTCCAATCTCGGGAGCTATCACTGCTGCTGTTCTTTACCACCAAATCTTCCGGGCTTTCAGTCCTGAAGAAGTTGCCACCATTCAGGCTGAAGAGGATATCAAGAAACGCGAAGGTGATGCCAAGGAAGGTGCCGTCCCAAATGTGTGAATACTACTTTGCGGACCTGTTCCTCCGCAGTGCATATGTGAATGACATTGCAATTTAGGAATGCATGTATGCATGTATATTCTAGACCATTTGTGTGCAAGTGACCTTGTTGTATCTCTAATTGTAAGGACACAAGTATTTATGTAATATTTTTTATATTTGTATGTTATATAATTCCTGCATTGTCTTATTGGTTCATAATAATTGTTTCCACATGTCGTGTATTTGCAGTTACCCACATTAATAAAATAATATATGCATGCATGTGCACATGCCCTTTCGTACAGCTATCTAAGTACACAGAACTCTGGCTTGATATTGATTTGAGCTGTTTAAATTTGAGCTTGTTTTATGCACCAACAAGAATTTTATTGGAGAAATAAATTATACGGCAGGCATATTAAATATTTATGTGTTATAAATGTATGGTAATTTTTCAAATACTAAATTTATGATTGGTTGACCAATATATTATTAAATAGGAATTTATCCAGTAATAAAATAGTACAGTGATGTAGTTGTCTTTAAAACCAATTATGATTTATTTTGTCCCAAACAAAATGTGTTCATAATGAGGGATTAACAGTTTTCTAAGGCTTGTGAAAGGTCATGAATTAAATCTTTGGCAGATTCCAGACCGACAGAAAGTCGGACAAAATTGTCAGTGATTCCTAGCCTTAATCTCTGGTCGATTGGCACCATCATATGCGTGTAAAAAGCACTGCGGGTAAAAATAAATGATATCTATTAGAATTTGTTTTATAGGAAATGCGCAGAATTTTCATATATGCAATTCTTACGGAAGTTCAGCCAATGACTCGCAACCACCAAAGCTAGCTGCATTGGCAACCATTTTCAGACTGTCCAAAAATTTGAGTGCAGATCCAGGTTCCTTGATGGTAAAAGACAGGAGACTGGAATGTCCCGATGACTGCGATAGTGCCAACTCATGCTGGGGGTGCGACTTTAGTGCTGGATGATTCACAGATTTTATTTTGGGATGGCTCTCCAAAAATTTTGCAATTTTCAAAGAGTTTTCCATCAACGCAGGCTGGAAGTTGGCAAAAAGGCAGGTGTAACTTTGGATTAATTTTGAAGTTTTTATGCCATGAGCATACCATGCGTAAGTGAAGGGTTTTTAGTCCTCTAGTGCACAAATAGGACTCAAACGGAGACGGAACAGCTCCAAACGCTATAATTTAATTATTAAAAAATGGTACAGGTTACATAAATAGGTAGACTTAATTAGAATGAAAATAACATTCATTAGACGACCACTCTGTTTCACAGTCTTACCATTTTGATAGAAATTGAGCTTCTCTTTCAGATCATCACTGTTCGTAATCAAAGCCCCCATGATGACATCGGTATGTCCATTGATATATTTTGTTAAAGAGTAATGAACAAGATCTGCTCCCAAATCGAGTGGTCTCTAAGCAGTGTAAGCAATGACAGGACAGTTAACTATAAAATATGTGACTCGTTGACTCGTTTATCTTTACTTGTTTTCATTCTGAATATAAACCTGGAAAAATGATGTAAGGACCGTGTTATCAACAGCAACTAAGATCTCCTTTGAGAAGTCATGGGCAATTTTAGCTATTAAAGCGATGTCAAACACCCTCAAAGTTGGGTTGGCTGGAGTCTCAAGAAAAACCATCTAAGACAATTTTTGTATAGCAATTATTTTTATAACCCAAATAGTATAGTTGCATATTCTCATTTGTTAAGCAATTTTGTAGCCAACGTACTTTTGTATTTGTTTTCAATGCCTTTTTGAAACCCTCAATATTTGTCAGATCCATAATGTCAACTTGCAGATTGTTTCGCTCAATGCTGTTCCTCCATAATCGATTGGCACCTCCATAAATGTCATCGCTATGATTTTAGAACTTGGCAGATTATTACCCATACCTGAAGAATTTTGGGGGAATGGTTATCATATGTATTACCTTGAGATAACGTGGTCCCCGCTTTTCAGAAGAGAAATCAGAGCCGAAATTGCCGACATTCCCGAAGAAAAGCAAACCCCTATACATACATTTCACAATTATTACACGGTTATGAACACAGAAGTAAAATGTGCTAATTGATCATGAAAAGATTAAATGGATTTTGAATTACCATGCTTTCCACCATCAAGAGCAGCCAATCTTTTCTCTAAGATATCCCGATTTGGATTTAAGGTTCTGGAGTATTCAAACCCCTTTAAACAATTGATTTATTAAGTAATCAAAAGTCATTAATTTACAAATAAGTAGTACACACTACATATTATTACTTTAAATTATACCCGGTTTTTGGCTGGAGTGTCCAGTGCATATGTCGCTGACAATGAAATTGGTGGAACAACTGATGAATTACTTTTTTCATCCGGAGTGTAACCAGCGTGAATTGCAAGAGTGGAGAATTCCTCGTTTAGAGGAAGCCACGACTCTGCATTATTTCCGTTCTTATTCGCCATTATTTTGCTCAGGGATGAATAAATTGTAACAGAACCAAATTAGTGAGACTCAGAAGATCAAATGACGAGATCTCAAAGGAGTCATTGCTTTTTAATCATTTCTTACTAATGACAGATGTATGACTTTCATAATTAAGTATTATCAATATTTTAATTAGCTATAAACTGATACATAAAGGGTCAAGGTCAATCAAATTATCTATCTTAATCTCCCATTTTCTTCGTGTACCCAAGTGGAGGTGAAGTGGTTTGTTTATGAGGCCATAAGGACAGCTCTTCGTCATAAAATAAATCTCCTGGACAGTCCGTTTGGGTCACATCTCGATGACCAAACAACGAATAGTCTGGTAGAATATGTCCGAGCTCAATGCCACATTCAATCAATGCTTTTGCAGAATCCATCTGAATCTGAGGGGGAAGTTTTGCTGCAGTAATTAGAATACGTTCAAATAAGTATTTATTATTGATAAAATTGTTTTTATTCGGTTAAGACTCATCCACCAGTTCAAACTTACTTGAATAATCCCCAATCAAACTTATACCGACACTTCGATCATTCATGCCTGGAGCATGAGCCCCAACTCTGTTCCATCCACGCCCTTGGAATATACTTCCTTCAGCCCCAATTAGAAAGCTTAATGCAGATTAAACATATATTTTAACTCTGATGCATAAAGTAATTACGTTAATAAAGTTTATGTAAGTAATTAAGTAAAAGTGTAAGAGTGATTTGACTGTACACGATGATATAATAAAAAATACCTATATCCAATATCCGACCAACCACGATCGTCCATGTGGAAGTCTTGAATTTCTTGCATTACCAAAATGCATTCTGGAACAGATGAACAATTCCCATCACCCATCACAGTGTGATGAACCACGACATTGGACAATGGCATGGTCATATTTACAATTTCTTTTGGGGGCCTGGCATTCCATTGAAATCTGTAATATATTCCTGGGCAAGCTGTACAGCCAAAGTAGGGAAATCATTAATATGAACTGTTTCAATTATTTTGTGTTAATTTGGTATGTTCCCACCTGAGGTCCACCCGCAAAGAACTACACCCAGAAACAACAAACTTAAATAATTTGTCATTTCAAATTGCAAATTGTAACACAGGACAGCGACCTATCTCTCCAAGCCAAGTATTATTATAAGGTGTGCATATATCGATTGCTATGATATCAGTTATGCAATGCAAATGTGATAGTGTAATCAATGATTAATCATGAGGTCAACATCATGCTAAACCTAATAGATATGTAAGTGATAAAAAGAATTTGTGATCAAGTTGACAGTGTGTGTCTGCCACATATCCATGCCATGATTATAAATCTATGCATTTAGGTAAGCAAGTACATAGGTACATTCAATATGTACATATTTATTGTAATGGTGTTGTCGAATGACTCTGGTATTATCTAAATTGAATTGGTGTAAATGAGAAAATGCGGTGACACTGACCACAAATCTTAAAAGATGTGCCAACGTACTCGACCATTTCCAAATTATGATTAAATTGGAGTTTTGACCATAGCACAAAATTGTCTGATAATTTGTTTATTATTAAATTATTGCATAATCATTTATATTAAAATATGTATACAGTCTCAGCTCAAAACGAGATCAAAATTGGGGTATCTGGACGATTTATTGATGTTGTGCATATGCTTCACTTCCGCTTTAATTATAATGATTTTGACACAAATCAGAAATTCCTCATAGGTATATAAATAAAGGCCCAGCAACTGAGTTATACATTTTTATTCGGCAAGGACTCAGTGCAAATCTTACGTTTCCCATTACGTTTTCGACATGTATTTGTATTCGATCTGGATTTTGTGCACACTCTTCATTGCAGCAGTTTCGTCGAAGGAAATTTCGAAAAATAAAGTAGCTGCAGTGGATACAGAAGCTCAAGCAACCGGAGAACATTTTGGTCATCACCACGGTCATCATTACCATAAGGTAATGATAAGCTAACTTCTAAAACTAGCTAAAGGAATAAATTTCATAAATGAATGCATTTAATTAGTACAAGTTTTCTGGTTTCAGTCCCCACTTGTCATAGAAGGACACCATGAATTTCATCATCATCACAGTGAGTTGGCAAACCGACTGGGCAAAAAAAATTGACCACTTAAATTAAAAATCGTATGTATGAACATGTTAACTTGCAGAAATTCCAGTACCAAAACCTGTGCCTGTTCCAATTATAAAGGAAGTTCCAGTCCCAGTGGTTAAGCATATTCCGTACCCCGTGATCAAACATGTCCCGATTTATAAGCATATTCATGTTCCAGTTGCCAAACACTTTTCCTTTTCCATCTCTAAACACTTTCCCTTCTTTAAATTTCATACTGGATTCGTCCATCATTACCAACCACCTCATTACCATGATTTTGGTAAGAATTACTGCCATGTTAAATTATTCGGAAATTTATAATGATTTTGTCATTAAAGGTCATCAAGGATATCACTTCGGACATGGTCAACGTGGTGCTTACCACGGATTACATTAAAATTAAACCCAAGTTCGTGGATTATTCACTCACTTCAGCCTCAAAGTTAACCCTTAGCTATATACATACACAATCTAATTGAAATTCAAATTTTCAAGTGTGATTAAAAGCTAGTGTAAAACTCGGAGTGAGCCATTCTTACCGTTCTAAGTTCTTCATATGAGACTTACCGTTTCTTCACCATCAACACAATTTAAATGATTCAAAGATGCACTTTTAATTCATCACAAAACGCACTGATGAAATTTTCAAGATGCAAGTTTTTCAGACCTTCCATACTCGACCAAGTTGTACGATTAACGTGGTGCATTTCACCTAATAAGTGGTACATTTCTCCGACACACTGTGGCAAAAAATATGCGATTCCTTGTGAAACGCATAACAAATGACACACTCCTCAGAGGCAGCTTGCTAAATGTGATAGTATAAATATCAATATGAACTGCATATTATAATTAGAAAAGGTAGCCGGAAGTTAGGACACAACTTTGTCTCAATATATCCATACGCACTCGGCATTAAAAATATTACCAACCTTATGTATGTATGTGCATACATCTTACATACTTATATCTCCCTTTCATGAATTTGTCATTACAACTTTGCGCTGCTCTTTTCTCCTAAAAATATCAAATGCAGCAGACTACTTCTCTTTTGCAGAAAGTCGTGAAATGTTTTAAATCATGGTTGTCAGTTATCATTTATTTTGTTAAATGTAATAAATAGCCATTCAATAATGTGGATCTGATCCAACATTTAAGTTCTTATTACTATATAATCGAACATCAAATCAATTAAGTCCTCCTGCATTCTCTACAAATAAAGACTCATCAACTTTTGTTACACTTGTCACTTGTCAATTTACTGAGTGATTGTGCAACTATTTACCAGAGTTAATCTAAAATAAATTGGTTGTGCATTAGTTTGAATTATTGTTTCGGAAGGAGTATGCAAGTGACTGTTGCAATCTCAAGAGTTTCGTTAAAATGCACCAGCAACCAGAGTAAATTTTAATTTACTACAATTAAACTCAATTGTGCTAAATGAACCAGTCTATCATAACAGATGAATGAACGAAATAAGAGTGGACCATTGTGATACGATGACAAATATTATTAAATAATTCTCTCATTGAAAATGACCGTAAATTCGTTAAATACAGAACAGAGAATTCAACTGACTAGACTTGCACATATTAAAGGAATTTATTTAATTCTAGATTTTTTTATATAGCCCATTCCGACCGTTATTATAATTTGGTTGTCTTGCTATTCCTCGACAAATCCATTATCTTCAAAAATTTTCTGCAGATAAAATTCGATTAGTACGTGAAGTGCATATATTTACTATTTAGATTAATGCCAAAATTATCATGGAGTACCTTGAGCACCACAGAGGAATCTTTGGGAATTACTTGCCTTTCCGGATCAGTAAAATCGACCCAATGTACTCCAAAACGGTCACTACACAAAAAATCATTATTTTGTAAATATAGTTTTTGGAAAGACGTGATAATTAACCAGAATTAGAACCATGCTAATTAACTCACGTGAAGCCATTCGCCCACTCAAAGTTGTCCATGAGACTCCATGCCGTATATCCCTTGATATTCACACCATCCAGCTTCACCGCTTTTAAAACATTGTTGATGTAGTCCCGATAAAACAAGCTTCTTGATGTGTCATTCGTTGGGTCCCGGCCATCATCACTCCATCCGTTCTCAGTAATGTACATTACTGGATTATCATACGTATTCTTGAGCCAGTTGAGATATTTGCGGAAGCCCCATGGCACTTTTTTTAGCCAGGCAGACGCCGAGCCTTCCCATGATGGATCTTTCCGTTTTGAAACTTGCTGGTCACCACTCCACCCTGGCAAGCCCTGGGCAGCTGCAGGTCGCACAAGCTCAGTCGTGTAATGGTTCACCCCCAAAAAATCGAAACTACCCCTCAACATGGTTTGCCACTCCTCGTCCAATGTGGGCAATCTTGAAGCGTTTCGACCTTCGGCTTCGCTCCTAGCATCCACTAATTCTCGCATGACGCTGGGATAATCTCCGAAGAATACTGGAAATGCAAACCATCCGTGTTTAAATCTGAGTGCACGTTCTGCGGCTTCCACGTGCGTAGGATCGTCTGGGTTATCCGGTTGCATAAATTCCGAGTCAATTACAATCCCAACTTCCCCGTTTTGCCATTCCTTAAATTCCCGTTCGTAGAGACGATAAGCTTTTGCATGGGACTTTAGTATGGTGTGAGCACACTTGTACGGTTCAGTAGCTTCCCCAAGAATGCCTGGTAGAAAGTTGATTAATTTTTAGTATATAACTAGCCCATTTTGTAAGTGAAATTAATTTTAAATTCTTGCCTGGAGCAGCGATAGACAATCCATATCCCAGTTCACTGGTCACGAAATAGATTTTTCATTAGAGTTACATAAATTAGGTTTCACAGGGAATATATGTAATTGTAGCAAATTAATTAGGTTATTGTAAGCGTAATACCATGTGTTGAAAGGTTCCTAAATTACCAATTATTCAAATTAACTTTTCATTAGACTCGTGTTTAAAAGTTTTGCAAAGTATATTAGGATTGTGTACGAACATTAAACGTCATCCAGTGCTTGACACGGTCACCAAATCTCTCGTAAAGTAAACGAGCATAGTTCTCAAAATGTTCAATTAAAGTTTCATTAGGCCATCCACCAAATTGAGATTGTAAATTTTGTGGCAAGTCCCTGGTAGAAATTATAAATTGGTCAATATTGACCAAGTCTGGTATATAAATAAATAGACTGATCTGATAAGAGTATGTTTATATTACCAGTGATACATTGTTACCTGAAATTAATGTAATATAGCACTTTCAGATAAGTTTGGTAATTTGTACACAATATTTGAGTACACATAAACGTATGTATTATCAATTTACCATTGGAATTATGTTATTTGATATTAATAAGTTGATCAGGTTGTTGTAATAACTTATGCCAACTTCATTTACGAGGTCATTTGTCCCCCGTGGTAGTACACGAGACCATGAGATAGAGAACCGATAAAATTGAACCTAATGGAAAATAAAAAAATTTAACTTGTGTCAAAGTAAGCAATTTAAAATGTTTGAAAATATTCATCTCACTCCCATGGACTTTAGAAGTTCAACATCTCGAGGATATTTGTGATAGGAGTCACCTAAAGATTACGTACATATTGAGTGTCATTAGCACTCTTAGGCGTAATTAATGAAATTGTATGTTTGTGACTTTGTGAGTAAATTGTGACTCATTACAGGCAATATCGCCATTGCTACCATCGATAATTGGGCTGACGAGTCTATGAGTAAATCTGTCCCAGATCGATTCTCCCTTTCCTTTACAAAAATAAGACGTTTGTCAATAATCATACATTGGTGAGTTGCAAGGTTTGTAGCTTACCATCAATATTCCATGCCCCTTCAATTTGATATGCTGCCGTCGCAAATCCCCATCGAAATCCTAAAGAATTTACGATTAGTACATCTACAATCATATATCGACTACAAGTATAACTACCTTCCGGAAAGGTATCGTATAGAAACTCATCTTCTTGCTGTAGATCTCCGTGACAAAATGTCAGAAGACTTACAATTAAAGAAAACGTTAAAACCCTCGTGGAAGTCATTGTCGAAGTCTTCATAGGCACTCGCACACACCCACTGACGAAACCCACGCTAATTGAGAACAAAGTTCCATTCCATATTCCGAACGAATCAACACTTTATCGGGATTAGATAATATGTGTCAAAATGTCATGATACTCACTCGTCATTAAGTGCTTAAGCGTGATAAATAATAAAAGATTATGTGTATTATTGTAATTGTAACGTATCCATTATTACAATAAAATTAATGTACAAATACATAGATATACGTACATACATAAGTACATAGTTCAACTCGTCATCAAATCGATATTTTTGAGACCGAGTTCGATTTCGATTTGGAAATGATTCAAGAACCTTGTATCATGTATTTGCATACATGTGTATATTCATAACAGAGTTGATAAGAACTGCATCCATCGGCCAGGGAATTCCGACCCAGGGTTTTATTCAGTTGGGTTTTATGGGGTTTGATTGGGTGCTAATTAATAAAACCCATTAGGTTTTACCATGTTGAGTGTTGTTATGTTAATGAATTTTAACTTGGTTTCGTGTAAAACTTATAAAACCCAAAAAGCATTAAAACCCATTAAAACCTATTATTTTTTATTAAAACCCTGGGTTTTTTTTCTAACCCTGCCATCCAACCACCAGTGCGACAAAATTGTTTGAATGTGATTTCAGTTCAGGAATTTCAATTTAATAAATCCGGTCCGGTTAGTGACAATGTTTTCACAGCACACAAATCGTTACGTAAAAAACCAATCAAATATTCAAGGATATGAAGTCATTTGTTGTTGCAGGGGAATGAGTGAGTAATGCAAAGATTATCATCACCACCTTTAATTTAATTTTGGCATGAAACAAGCAATCGTCCCTCTACATGTGCATATTATACGAGTGGCAAGGTGCACTCACTGTGTGTAATTTTTTGGGGGTACAAATATGGACAAATACCGCATCTATCCAACGATTCAAGTCAAATGAGAATTATTGGAGCTCAGCGTCTCAGAGAATAAAGGCACGCCAATTATTTCTCCTGTGGTTTGTGGTTTAGCTGAAAAACTGCATCAGACAACCATCACACGTTCAGATCAGACTATTCTTCTTGGTTTCATAGGATTTGAGTAAGTCGTTCGCTTCTACTTTTGGCTTCAAGTTTAGTCTAGCTTGTGTTGCACCAGATTTACATGTTGCTCAGTTTCATTTTATAAATTGACATGATTTGACAATTTTCAAAGTCTTTTGAGCACTCACATCTATATTCCTGCAGGATGAAAGGGTTGAAATACGAATGGAGTTAATGAAACTATCTGTGAAAATGTCATAAAATAATTATAGCCAATTGAATCAATTGAAATAGATTGGGTGGGTGAAGTGAGTTCATTCTATTTCTACGTGTACGTTTTAGGGTTGAATATTTTACATAATTTTACATAAAAGAAGGGGGAGGAGTAAACGCTATATTTTTCAATTAAAAGTTCAATATGATTCCTTGGAGCTTGCCCATTTATGAGGTTTTTATAGTTGGGATCCGTGGTAAATTGCTGCTAGCATTGGTACAAAATATGTAATTTTAGAATAAAGTAAAAGTTTGTAAAAGAAGCTTATGCGCAAATCAGTTAAGATTCCAAGATGTCCCATAATGTTTTGACACTTGGAGCAGTTAAGTAACACTTGGGGTTTATTGTGTCATTGAAAAAGATGGAATGTAGAGTCATTCCAGTCAAACTTTGTCATTTTTAGACATTTTACTGCTCTTTAATCTGTTTCATGTCGATTTATTCAATTTACAATCTAATTAAGATTACCAGTCGGTGTTTGAAGGATGTATTCATTTTATTTGTCTCGGCTTGTTCAAAGCCATTTAGTGACAAGCTGATAAGAGCTTGCCCATTAAATTGATAGCGGTCTGGTCGTATGAGACTTTTTAAATTGCACACATTAAAGAATAGTTTAGAACACGCTTTAAAATTAACCACATTATGAATTGTCCTCGAGACATGGAATTACGTAAAAAGTAACGTAAATCAGACCGTAAATCTGAATTGAAAAATTATATAACATGTCTAAATTTAAATATTGAAAAAATATGACCGCATGGAGAGATTTTTATATACCGATACACACGCTTGATTTAAAACTACTTCTTTTACTTCTTCTTCGTTGATCAACTCAACTCTTGCTAAAGCATAATCCATAATCCAGCATAATGCATAATGTGAAAAGTGCGTGTTTTTATTGCTCAAATGCTGTAAATATGTATCTCATAAGACATTTGCAGATATATCAGCCAGTTTCCATCATATCACGAATTTGCACTGGATTTAAGATGTTAAGCTACAAAATCTTATTTGAACAATTGACTTTTACAAACCATGTATGACTAAACAATGGACACATTACGAATATATTAGCTTCATAAATAATGTTTTTTGCCAATTTACTTCACGGGAGGTATCATCGTACCATCACTTGAACAAAGTTGGAGAATTTGATTTTGTAGTATAATTAAGTGCATGGACAGATTTTAAAACTGGTAAACTCATCGCAAATGAACTCAAATGCAAATATCTGTAGTCGTAATTTGTTGCTCCACTCCCACTCCAAGCAATGGATGCAGTCACTTCTTTTGTACTGAGGTGTTTTGCTTGGTTCACATTTGAGCATCATCATTACACCCACATTTCTCCTTAATTATATATGGTTCATATTGAAATATTCACATCTTTGTAAGAAACATAATCTGATGAGCACAAGGCACGTTGAGTCATCGTAGCACCGCGTCCTCTACGCGTCGCCTAAGCCGAAGGCGACAAGAAGAAGTGAATATAAATAATAACTATGTTTAACATGAACTAGACAAATCCGTCATTGCATTGCATAAAAATAGACAAGGAAACAATTTTACACAGCCCATATTTGGACGAGGTTTACTATTTGCATCAATCTCCTCTATGGTGTGCTGTAAATATTTCAAGTGCAGCGTACATATATCTGTACGTCTACACATACAACACTGTACATACATGAGCTTCAGTTGTATCACAAAAATTGGCCACTGGCTACGCAATATTTTGCATCCAAACAGCTTTACCCAGGGCTTTAAACGCACTGACAATGAGTTTTACTAACAACTTACTACATAAATCTGATTATTCATCGGTAATCAAACTGAGAAAGTGATTAATTGAGTTGGGTTTAAGTGGGACTGAGGGCTTTCTGCTGGACTAAAACAAACAATTGTTCTCCGGTTGGATGATGAATCGATTTATATTTTCGACAGCAATGTTGATTTTGGTTTGTCAGGTTACAATTGCTAAAGTGGAGTTTCGTCGTGACATAATGACACTTATCGTTTTTATATCAAAGATAAACACAATTTCGAGTGTTTAACCTCCAATAACACTTTGACAGAGTTTATCCCAAAATGATTACATCCTCTTAACAAACGCACCAAATATAATTGACATATTTTCCGGAGATGAAATTTTTTATATAGGAAAGGGTTAACTGGATAAATATAAACGTATACGCCCAATAGACCCATTGAAAATTTTGAACATTATACGTGTGAAATAATTCTTGCCTAAAATTTCTATGCGGTTTCGGCATATGCATATTATGTATGTAACCATCCGTTTCCGATGAGGTATGCACTAGGGATAAATCTCAATGAATAACTTGTTAAAAAATACATGACATGACTTCTCTGCCCAACACAAGCTTCCATTATTTATTTTTGCACGAATGTGCCTAAATTTTTGTCAGAAGTCACGACAGAATGTTACATACCAGTAAATAATGCTATCCTGTGTTTATAGAGTACGTAATGAAGGCCATTTTCATGCGTTTTCTCTTAAGCTTTCGAGTTTAATCCAGGCGAATCGGAATAACGAGAGGGGGAAGCAAACAGCTATTTGTGTCTACAGAGCTTCATCAATGCAAGCAACTCAATAATCGTTCCAACAGACAAAACCACAAACAAAATAATTATTTGGATCAGTTTAGAGTAGTTGCAAGTCCAAGTTAGTGTAGTGTCTCTCCATGTGTGTGTAGGTTCTGAGGGATTCAAATATTATCTGCTCGTATACATACCACGTCTCATTCTTTTTTCAAGAGCTGCATAAGCTGTCCAGTGAGTGTTAATACTGGCAAAGGACTTTGTACAGGAAAATTGTAAGTCTATTGTTGCACATTAGACAAATAGCCAACGCACAGATATTTTTTCATATCGTATAAATTTTCTTTGCACTCTATTTTCATGATGCAAATGAGAAATCGTAGGCTTGTAACGTATTCAACAAAATGCTATGAACGAATAACAATCAGTAAAATAATTTAAAGGAATACATATTTCGTGGTTTATGAGAATTTTGTGTCATTTAAAGAGGTCTTCGCATAAATAAATACTGATGAGATATTTGCTGTAGTTGCTCATCTGAAATTATTTCATTCAATTATGTAGAGACGAAAAAATCAATATTTTAAACCTGATGAGATTCTGAAAGCAGTTATTTTTTACTGTCAGCTTACACGCAATAATTTGCATCAAGTAATAATTATTTAAATTGATTTTTGGGAAAATTGAGACAGTTTTTATTATTGTGTGTTATTGACTGTCTCACCGAGGGTGGTCAACACCTCATAAAATAAGTACATGTAAAATATTGACGTATTAAATGTTCAACTTTCCGTGAAGTTTCTCTTTGCAAGTTTCCAAAAGTTTATCGTGAATTTTTTATGTGTATCCTAGATGGGATTTTTGCTTGCTGAAATGTCCGGTTTCACTGAAATAATGAAGGACCGCAAAATCTGGAAATGTTTGCTAGCTGAGTTCTTGGGGACTTTGGTACTTGTGTTTGGTAAATAAAATATAAACTACATAGCAAAGTGACTGAAATGTATAATTATGAATTGTATTTTATCAATTTAATCCCTCATGCAGTTGGCTGCGGAAGCTGTTTGAACTGGGATGGACCAAGTGGACCCGGACCTAGCATTACGCAGATCAGTCTTACTTTCGGTTTAACAGTTGCCACGATGGCTCAAGCCATTGGGCACGTTTCAGGATGTCACATGTAAAAAAAATCAAGAATCGTTAAAAATACACTGATTTTTAGCCCTAGCCAAAGCTTATGAAATCGTCATGTCCGTCCGTCTTTAACACCCTATTACTTGTACAATTATTCCAGAAATCCTGCGGTCACTACTGGGATGTTGGTTGCTAATAAGATGAAACCTATTAAAGCCGCCTTGTACGTAATCTTCCAGTGCTTAGGGGCCATCTCGGGCGCAGCGATTCTAAAGGTTTGGGTTAATATTCCTACATTCCTACTCGGCACCGGATACATATGACATAATTAATTTATGGTTTGCTTACATTTGTATGAAGGCTTTCACACCTGAGGAAATTCAAGGAAGGTATGCACACATATTTGCATAGATATGTACATAAATATGTGAATGTATTCTGCACAGATGTCTGCAAAATACTGTCTGAACTACATTTTGTTTATTTTATTTTATTTAAAGTTTGGGCATGACGGTGCCGAATAAGGAGATGGCTGTAGCCCAGGCGTTGGGTGTGGAATTTGTCATTACTTTGATATTGGTTCTTACCGTATTCGGAGTTTGTGATGGGAATCGAGACGATATCAAGGGATCGGCCCCACTTGCAATTGGATTGTCCATTACAGCCTGTCATTTAGCTGCTGTAAGTGACAAATAATACAGAGTTTCTAATATGATAAACTAAATTTAAAATATGCAGATCAAATTCACTGGGTCGTCCATGAACCCCGCTCGTACATTCGGGTAAAATAAAATAACTAAAATATTTAAAACTGTTAAAGTACTTAAGGTACCTTTTGTATTAGGCCGGCTGTCGTTACATCCATTTGGACAGAGCATTGGGTAAATTTTTTCAACGTTTTGCAACATTAAACATTAAACATTCGGCTGTGTATTGATAGTTCAATTATTAAATTTTTTGTGCATTTTAACTTGCAGCTGTATTGGATGGGGCCCTGTGGGGGTGGTAAACTCCTTACTTTAATGACCTCAAATTGTATATTTGGACCATTTAATCTCATCTTAATCATCTTAATAAATTGCCAGGTGCCGTGGCCGGATTGTTATATCGTAATGCCTTCCAAGCCGCCCCTGCTCGGCCTGACGAAGGAAATTGCGAATACGAACCCTGTGCCAAGGGGGACAAATTCCAGGAGGAGGCTGCCGTATAACTTTGTTGCTACTTTTTATGAAGTATCTAGATGATATGTATGTGTTGTCAAAAAACGTCACCTTTTAAATTAATTGTAATATTTTAGTCAAACTTTTTTGTAATTCTTATGTTTTATTTTCCTCTGCATTGTTACCATTTCAGTTCTCATGATATTATGAAAATCGTTATCATACAAAAACCAAATTTTCATGTTGTACGTGTATGTAACACTTTATCTGTCCTTGTCCATAAAGTTCTTATTACTTCAAATAGTTGAGAAGACATTGAAGCACTGCCACGTTTGTACTCTCCAGTTTTGCAGAATAAACAGTATTTTCCTTCTACCATTTTGCTACTTTTGTGCTTATTTATTTAAATGCATGCAAAACCAGATGGAAAATTCATACAAGCTGAAGACAACAAAGTTTCAGAACGTATCTGAACGAATCTCAGCGACTGCAGCCCAATGTGCGACAATATATCGCGGTAAATAGCAAGTCTAACCGGACGGAACTAAAAATACGATCAACAACATCTCATAAAATACAAAATGCTAAATCCAATATTTATAAAATAAAAAATAAAATTTATCTCTCAATTCATAATAAAAGTTTTTACTAATTAAAATCCTATTGAATCCTGACCCAAGTTTACCAATTTCCAAATAATTCTCTTTCGTTAGAGTCACACCACGACCACACACGGGTTGTTTCAGTGGTACTACTAGTTATCTTTAATTTATTGGTTTGCAAAATGTTCAGCATCAACAAGGAGCTCCACCCCCCGACGGGAGTGGAAATGTGTTCATACTGCTACTTTTTTGACCGTCGTGAGAAGAACTTGGTCGTGGCTGGAGCTGACCTTCTTCGCGTCTTTCGCTTCGTGCCTGATCTGTATGACACCAGTCAAGGTGAGTTTACTGGCTATTATTAGGATAAAGACGCTAGAATATAATAACTGTTTGTGGTAGTTTGTAGTTCGTGACATGAATGCCAAATTGTTTTATGTTTAGATGAATCCAAGCCCCCCAAGATGAAAATGGAGTGTTTGGGAGAGTATAGGTTCCAGGGGACCTTGATAGCAATGGAGACGATGCCCCTCAGTTTGGCTCGTGACGCCCTTCTGCTGGCTTTCAAAGATGCAAAGCTTGCAATTGTGGAGTATGATCCAGATACTCACGATTTGCGGACGATCTCTGTTCATTTTTTCGAAACGGAGGATTTAAAGGTTGTTTTTTTACTAATTTAATTTGAGAAATATCCAAGAGTAAAATAATATATATTTTTCTTTACTATAGTGTGGGCGAACATTGAGGACAAACAGTATGCTTAGAGTTGACCCTGATGGGAGATGTGCTGCACTGCTAGTTTATGGACGACATCTTGTAATTATTCCATTTCTTCGGAGGGATAGTGTGTTCGAAGAACATTTTAGTGATCCGACTGATATTAAGGTATTTATTTGCTAGGTATCCAAAATATTTACAGTCCCGGTCGTTTTCAAAATATTGTAATTAAATAATTTTGCTACAGCCTAATCTTGCCAGTTTGAATCGAATTCCTCAACTAAAATCTTACACAATCGACCTGTGGGAGTTGGAAGAGAAGGTGGACAATGTAAAGGATTTCAAATTTCTTCACGGCTACTATGAACCCACAATAGTTTTTATTTATGAACCAATTCAGACCTATGTTGGGTGAGTTTATGGTTCAATTATTAGAATTTTCGTTAACTTTAATCTTTCAAGTAAGTATTTCTCAAATCGTTGACTAATTGACAATTTTTAATTTTTGCAGGAGAGTGTCCGTTCGACAAGATACATGTGCTTTGGTTGCAGTGTCCTTGAATGTATCGCAGAAAGTTCATCCATGTATTTGGACCGTGAGTCATTTGCCATATGACTGTTGCAAAATCTTGGCTGTTCCCAAACCCATTGGAGGTGTACTTTTAATGGCACAAAACGCATTAATTTATCTTAACCAAAGTATCCCACCGTATGCCGCCGCCCTGAACAGTATTGCTCGCAAGGCTACGAATTTCCCAATGAGTAAGAAATATTGTGTATAATTATATGAAGATTTTTTCGTTTATCTTAACTTCATTTTCCCTATACTTTAGAGGACCAACCTGAAGTAGTCATTACATTAGATTGCGCCCAAGCGGACTTCCTATCACACGACAAAGTGATTCTATCACTCAAGGGTGGAGAATTGTACATTTTGACTTTGCTGTGTGATTCAATGACAACTGTTCGCGGATTTCACTTTTTCAAAGCAGCGTCATCTGTATTGACATCATGCGTAAGGCGACAGCTTAATTTACTCAAATTCATATGAACTAATAATCATCAAGAATTAAATATTAGTTTGCAATAATATTATTTAATCGATATTCTTTCCCAGATGCTTATTTGTGATAACGACTATGTGTTTCTTGGATCTCGTCTCGGAAATTCTTTGCTCCTTCGATTATGTGAAGAAGGAGCTATCCGGGAAGTAATAGACCAAATTGAAGATTTGAACGAAGATAAGGATAAAAATGGAGATCAGCAGGAAGTAGAACTTATACATGACTTGGATGAAGAAGATGATGATGATGATGCAGTCCTGAAAGTTAAAAAATCCAGGCTTGCTTTAGATCAAGAAGAAGTGGAAGTGTATGGAAGTGAAAAGCGTACTCATTTTGTGATTACAACCTACAAATTCGAGGTACTGCATTTTGTTATCCAGTACTATACAGTATGTACCAGTACCGAGTACACAAATATAATCATAAACGTTCAAAATGGTTGGTTTTAGTTCTGTGACAGTCTGTGGAATGTGGGCCCTTGGTACGGTATTAAAATGCAAACATTCATATATGCACGATGATTGTTGTTAATAATAAGTATTATACCTTTTTTAGCGGAAATATGACCCTTGGAGAACCTCCGTTTCTATCCGACGATTTTACTGCACTAGAAGATCCAGATTTGGAGTTGGTGACTACCAGTGGACATGGGAAAAATGGAGCTCTTTGCGTGCTACAAAGGTCTATTCGACCACAAATTGTCACCACCATTCCGATTCATGGTCTCAAAGACTTGTGGACACTATTCCTTCCAAATGGATCTACAAACCATGGCTTGATTGTGGTTTCTCAAGACTCAAAGACCATTGTAGGTTTATTGGACAGCATTTTTGGGGGTTGATGGTTATTATTTATGTTGCATTATGTACTAAATATATTTTATATACTGTGTAGGTTTTACAAGCTGGCGAGGATATTAATCAAATTCATAATAGTGGATTCAATACAGATTTACAATCAATTCATGTTTCCAACATTGGAAACTCAAAATACATGATTCAGGTGAAATTGCGTTAATAATGATTTCATGGTTTTTAAGCTGAATATTTTTTTAACCAAATTTGGCTAATTAGGTGTTCAAGGATGGAATTATTCTTTTGAATGGAACAAACGAACTTCAAAAAATTAATCTTGGTCTCAGTTGTGACATTGTGTTTGCTTTTACGGCTGACCCATATGTCGCGATACTTACTGCTGAGGGCCAAATCGTTTTAGTTGTTTTTGTTGGAGACCGATTAGTTCCAACACTGACTCAGCTTCATAAGGCAAGTGTATGGTTATTGTTGTTGACTATTCACTGATGAATACCAAGATTGTAATCAATAATCCAATTCAACTACTTTCTTAGAGTTCAAAAGTTGTTGCAGTTTCTGTGTATTGTGATGTGAGTGGGATATTCACCACTAAAGCGCCTTCCGATGATTCACCCGAAGAGCAAATTGTAAAACTTACAAAAGTAAAAAAGTAAGGGTCACATTACGACACTACATCTTGCTATGCTATTTGCTCCCGAAGCTTTAACGTTTTACATGTTTCACACATATTATATTATACTTTTTCATTATCAGGGAAATGAGAGACGAAGAAGAATTGCTGTATGGAAATCCTGATGCTGCAGATGCTGATTTTAAAAAACAGCAAGCTGCAATTTCATCAAGATGGTGGCGAAGAAATCGTCGACGCCAACAAACAGTAATGCCTTCTCACTGGCTGGTAGTTGCACGTGAAACTGGAGCATTAGAAATATTTACTTTGCCAGATCTGCAGTTACGAATGAGCGTGGTAGATTTTGCAACCACGCCGAGAATTTTAGGACATACAACTCAAAAACCAGATTTTAAACATGTCGGGTAAGTCATGTGTGCATAGATTCACAATTAAATGCGCATTAAGAATTTAAATGTTTATTTTTAATAACTAAATGAATATACAGAGTTGACGGTGAATCATTACCAGCGGTACATGAGATTCTTCTCGTTGGAATGGGCAACCTTAACAAACGCCCTATTTTATTTTCTCGTATTGGAGAAGATTTGTATGTCTACGAAGCATATCCTTATTATGAAGATTCATATGAAGATGTTTTAAAGATGCGGTTCGCAAAAGTCAGACACAATCTCATTGTTCGTGAGAAAAGATCGTAAGTTTTTCTATCTATACTGTTATTATATTTATTAAATTATAGGTAGCATATTTAATATCAACTCGAAAATTTTCAGTGCAAAGTCCAAAGGGTCGACAGAAGTGTCATTCTCAATGCAAATTAAGAATCATTTTCGACACTTTCCTTTTCTTGGCGGTTATGGAGGTGTAAGTAAATATCCGATTAAATGTGTAATTTGAAAAGTAAATAGTCATTGACCTATTAACTAATATATAGGTTTTTATATGTGGGCCATATCCTCATTGGGTGTTTATGCCCAGCACAGGCCAACTGAGGTTAGTTTAGTGATCTAACAAATATAATGCTTTAGTACATAATGCATGTCATTTGAGTTTAAAATTTTTACTTTGTTGAAGATTTCATCCCATGGGAATCGACTCCAAGATTGTTTCATTTGCGCCATTCAATAATCCAAATTGTCCACAAGGCGGATTTATTTATTGTAATGCAGATTATGGTAAGTTGGTCTTAGTGCCTTTTTAAAATATTTTTTATTGATGAAACTAATTATTCCAATATTATTTACTAATTAAGATTTCAGAATATGCATGTTACCCAAGCATTTATATTATGACGCTCCATGGCCAATCAAAAAAGTGCCACTAAAATGTACTGCGCATTTCATTATCTACCATATTGAATCGAAAACCTATGTCGTTGCATTAAGTAATTCCGAATTTTCGACAAAAATATGCAGAGTGTCTGGCGATGAGAAGGTATAGTTCTATTTTGTCTTTTTCATGATTTATTTTACGAAATGCTTGTTTTTAGGAGTTTATTGAAGAACAAAAGGATGAACGTTTTCCAATGCCAACGAGAGATAAATTCAGTATTCAACTATTTTCATCTGCTACATGGGAGGTAACACGGGATTGATCGATATGTAGTATCATGTACCTGCAACTTATTTCATCTGTTTGATGTTCATAGGTCATTCCAAACACGGCGCAAGAAATGGAGCCGTTTGAAAATATTCTTTGCTTAAAAGTTGTAGACTTGGCGTATGAAGGAGCCCGGACTGGGCTGAGAGGATATCTCGCGTGTGGGACTGGAGTCACCTTTGGAGAAGGTTTATTAAAATATAATACATAAATTTTGAAAATCAGTTACATGTTTCTACTGTTTCATGTCTGCTTCAGATACTACCAGTCGTGGAAGAATTTTAATAGTTGATGTGATTGAAGTGGAACCTGAGCCTGGGCAACCATTAACTAAGCACAAATGCAAAGTGCTGCATACAAAAGAACACAAAGGTCCTGTGACAGCATGCACAAGCGTAATGGGGTTCCTATGTGCTGCCGTAGGCCAGAAGGTATTTCTGTTACAGACGAATTTGTATCGATTTTCAGAAACAAACTTGAAATTACTTGTCTTTCGTGGTTTAGTTATATTTGTGGCAGCTGAAGGACAATGATTTGGTCGGTATTGCATTTATCGACACGCAGATCTTTATTCACCAAATGATTAGTGTCAAGAATCTAATTTATATTGCGGATGTCTACAAATCTGTGTCTCTCTTGCGCTTTCAAGAAACTCATCGCACAATAGCCGTCGTCTCAAGGGTACATTTTGCAATTTTATCATATTATCATTTCAATTGATTACAAGAATTATAATTGTTCATAATATTGTTTTTAGGATTTTAAACCCTTGGAGGTTTATGGGATTGGCTACTTGATTGACAATACACAACTGGGTTTGATTGCATCAGATAACGAAAAAAATTTCATCATCTACATGTTTCAACCCCAATCACGAGAAAGCTTTGGAGGTTTGAATTTCCTACACAAATAGATACTTGTATAATGCAAAGTCTTAATTTTGCGAATGAAATAAATTGCTTTTTAGGTCAACGGCTCATCAGAAAAGCAGACTTCCACTTGGGTCAGCATGTGACCACATTTACAAGAGTTAAATGCAAGGTTCTTGATCCAACCACTACGAAAAGAAATTCACTTGCTATTGAAAAACGACATGTATCATTTTATGGAACTCTTGATGGAGGACTTGGTTACCTGCTTCCTATAAATGAGCGGACATATCGACGTCTTTTGATGATGCAAAATGTTTTATATTCTTTCTTGCAACATAGAGCTGCTTTAAATCCAAAGTCATACAGGTATAAGTTTGATTGAATTCTTCATGTACAGTAATAACTGTTTGTTGACGATTTTTTTATAATTTTTAGGGGGATATTTTGTACGGATCGAACAGCAGGAAATCCTTCTAAAGGCATAATTGATGGAGATATGGTGTGGGAATTTTTAAACCTTCCTTGGCAAGAAAAGTTGGACGTTTGTCGTAAAATAGGTAGCAAGGTTGATGAAATTGTAGAAGATTTAATGGAAATTGATAGAATTTCGTCCCATTTCTAATTTTCGTTTTTACACTAAAGAGTATATTATGAATGTATGTTGTTGAAAAGACTGTATTATGATTTGTTTCACGTAGCACGTATTTTTGTTGTATTGTTTATTTTATACATTTAAAATGAGAACAATAAAATTTTAAAAATAAGTACATTTAAAGCAACGGACTCATACACTAGTAATTTCATTACTTATTTCATTGCTTAGACCAATAGTGATTTTGACAAACCCATCGACATCATCCAACTCACGAGAATTAAACTTTGCAGAAATAGTTTTCTCTCCGTCTAGTTGGGCCACTAGTTGGAAATCCGCAGTTGCGCTTTCTCCTGGTTCTACTTTTCTATTAAACAAATGGAAGCACAGTTAAAAATTAAAGTAAATAAATATTCACAACGGATTCATATAGATCGTTAGTGTGCACGTACTCTTTAACGTTAAGTTTTAACGGTTCTCCAAGTCCAGGGCTTTCAATTAAGAATTGACCCTTAGTTAATGGCACGGGTAAAGGATTCTTTAGTTTAACCGTCCCCTTGAATGGTTGACCCACAATGAGACCATCAACATTTCGTATCTACAGAATATTACAAAGTGTATGTAAAAACGTGATGTGCTCGGTTGAACTAGGTTTACATATGCATCCTTACGTCAAATTTGATGTCAGGTTTTCTCGCCCTAAAATAAGAGTAACAATTACGTAATGAATAATTACTTTACAATAACTTTATATCGCCTTGCCTAAAATCATCCTGCGCAAAATACTCATAGTCCGTTTCATCAACGCTAGCAAGACATGCGACATTAAATGCACACTGATTGCACAACTTGGGGGCATAGTCGTTGTAAGTAATTTCCATGCTTATTTCCTCCTCTGTTGAAATACGAAATATGCATTAAATATTTAGAGCTTTGATTTCAAATCAAAGCAAACACTAACTAGATTTTGGTGGGATGGTGAAGAGGAAAACCTAAATACAAAAATATAAAAGTAAATGCATATAATACATACTTTTATGCGTGTACCATTTAACAGTGTGTACCTCTTTTTTAACTTCTGCTTTCACTTTTCCCGTATAAAGCATTGTGTCCACCCTTAATGATGCCGTCACATCGTATTCTTTCTCTTCGTTTACATTCGTGACAATCAGCCTAACTCTGCAATGAGATTAGACATCGTTTTGGCTGTGTTTTCTAATTGCTACTGATAAATAATCATGTGGATGTACATATAAAATTAAAATGAAACGTACTTGAAGGATGACCCAATTACGATGTCATCTTGAATTTCCGGGAAATCGAATCTGACGTCATTAAAATCCTCGTTAAGGTAATATCTGCTGAACAAACTCTCACTCGTTCTCAAGGCATTTAGCATAGCTTCTCTTTCTTTTGATGATTCTGGTAATACACATTTTTAATGATTAGTGGTAAATATTATGGAATATATTTATATTGTTTGAGTTGAAGAAAGCGTCTCATACTTTCTGGATATTTGTACGTATGCGTAATGTCATCGCGATCAAATTTTCCTACCGCTTTTGTACTAATTAGCATCCCAATCCTGTGAATATAGCGTAGAAGTGTTTGAAATTAAAGTCGGTCAGTGAAATATGTATGCCCACATATAAAAATGAACTTACACATCTTGCTTCGTTCCCAGCAATTTTAATGGGCGGTTGGGCCCTCGGAAATGCCAGTATCTGAAAATATGGAGACAAGGATTTAGAGCAGTTATAAAATTTAGCCTTGTACTGAGACGTTTTTGAGTAATAAGTTACTAAGTCTTTTCGACTTACACTTTATCAGCATTGACCTCACTGAACACAAAGGTGCCATCAAATGGCCGCTTTATTTCTCCTCTTCTTACAGCTAAAACCGATGCTGGACCTAGTAGAATGACACTAAAATGAGTCAAATGTATCCAAAAATAGTGATGTCATTAAAATACTTATCTACGAACCACATTGATACATTTCATCACTTTTCTCTTGTGGCGTTGCATCGATAACTTGCCATCCGGCTGTTTCCGAGCTGTCGCCCAAATCTGTTCGCAACATCCACGCCTCATTCCACACATGAAAGTTCCTAATACCATTTCACATAATAAAATATTACATACTAAAATATGACTACGTCACACGATTGCGTGTACCGTATTATAAATATTGTATTTTCCGTACCACACAGAATCTGTATTCAATTTCTCAATTGGTTTCCCATCATCATCCAGAAAGTAGTCCACCGTTACGGAAGATTGAGTATCATGGGCAGACTGATAATTAGTAACAGGCCTGCATGGAATTCCAATCGCTCTGCAAACTACGTTGAATTTTGTTACTTAATTATTGGCATGAATTGTGTATGGTACTAGTAAATACTTCACATATAAATAGCATACTTGATGTAACAACGCCTGCAAAAACCCAGCATTGTCCAAACTTCACTGGCTTCTTGCTAGAGTAGTATTTTCGTAAAATTTTGAGGCTTCCAGTCCAATTGATTGGTGGGACGCCTCCATCAAATTTGTCAGACCAATTTCCCTCAACCACTCCGTCTTCATCTGGAGAGTTTACCTGCACATTGCGTTTTATGAATAATTTTTCATACGTAAATTGCACAAAGTGCACACTAAAAATAATCCTGAAATCGGTCATACAGCTGCTGAAATGGCTCTGACGCATTTAACAGGGTCGGCACGAGCGGTGGAGCTCAGACGACTTGGACCACTGAGAATGTACAGAGCACAATCCAAAACGTCCTTTTCAAATTGCGAGTATGCCCATGGCGTGGGGCGAAGTCGGGTGTGGCTTCCTCTCCAAATTAAACCACTGTCTTCCAAAACGCACTCGTGGCGAAGCTCATCTTCTTCCATGTAAACTTCATCATCTACGAGAGCACATTTATCAGTTCACTAATTAACTATGAATGCAATTAATTGCTCGTCTGTTTGAAGTTTTTTGTAGATATTAGCTACGCGTCTGTATGTAAATATGTGCGTTGCATTTCTAAAGTAAAATGTCTCACCTGCATTCCAGGGGTTAAAAAGAATATAAATGGGGTTATCCAAAGAGTAGCTGACTGCGGTTTGATCATCCCGTCGTTTCGTGTCTATTGCGAGTTTCCATTTTCCAACAGAACAAGTTGCAGACGTTTTGAACTGTAGTAGGTAATGTGCATACGATTATTTTGATGACCATCGCGTTTCAAGAAAGTTGAATAGATATGTTATAAATCTAGTTGGTAGACATATATGTATGCCATTTTTTACTGCTCGTTTCTCTCCAGTCAAAGACAAATGGAATGAAGAAACTTTTGGTTTGGTTACAAAATTTTTAGACAAGATGGCAATGTTCTTTGATTCGGAAATTGGGAGAGGGACTAACCAAGCTTAGGCAAATCGCGAGACATCCATATTTAGTACATTGATGTAAAAGTCGAGCTGTTTGGACATAATTACCTGAACCTTAATTGCATTCTCATCGATTTCGTCAATGTAAGCTGTCCACGTGGGAGTCTTTTCAAAGAGCAAACTCCCTTTTGACAGTAGTGGCACTAGTACTAACGTGCCATGAGATAATGAAGGCTTTCCATCTAGCATGCATACAGCAGTGTGAAAATATTGTATCCTTTGTGAAGGGTACTAGTAAAATAGTTTATTTTTAGTAAAACTCACCGACAATTGAGAAGACGAATGATATCCCGTCCGTATCTTTGCTATAGGGTCGATTAAAAAATATCTTAATCCAAAATTCTTGCCCTCGACGAATAACCAATTTGTTGGTTTGATCTGGCTTTGAGAGCATGAGATCATATTTTTCGGTTTGGTGGATTGGGCCATTCTCCTTGCAAATAAGGTCCACTTTGAACACTTTCAGAATATCAATATTACCATCATCTGTAAGGATAACATAAAATTCAAGTGAGAAAATACAAGGAGAAATCAAAACAAAATAAATATTTATTTATGCATAACCGATATTTATCTAGCTTACAGAGAGGACGATTCTTTTAGCAAACTAATCCTAAGTATGTAGGCAGAGGCAATGTGCGAGTAAAATTCTTATGTGTACTTACATATGTACGTACACGTGCAGAGTGCGTATTTATATGTACGTATACATTGCAAAGATCTACTCGAGTCAAGAAAAGAGCCAAGGTCAATAAACATTTTTGTTTCCATTGTTGTGGATAATTACGTATGTATGCATACACAAATAATATGATAAGACAATCTAAAACCTGTATTACGAAAATGTTTGAAAATTACCTAAATCTTTTGGCAGTTCAGGGAGGTGAATTATTTCTCCTTCCGGTAATTCTTTAACGCTACATCCAAAACAATCTTCCTCACAACATCCACAACAGCATTCCTTTACTGCCACTTGGAAATGTGACCAACAATTACCCATTGCGAAAACTTTAGGAACGGTAGTTAATATAAATATTAACGACAGAGAATGTAAATGCACACTTAAAACACACAAACTAACTTGACTAATCGCACACAAATGCCATACATAGTATGGTAACTCGATTGATTAGACACTTTTTAATAAATAAACTGGCCTTCGTGATGCTAAAACACAATTCTATTTAATAAACTCAATTTAAAGAATGTCTTTAGAAATGTACAAGATTCACGTTGCTCTCCAGAAATGATATTTGACACCTGTATGCAAAACCTGACTATTAAATTGCCTGTATTGAATGGACTGCATGTAGTATAATTCACAAAAAAACCTGTATAAGCAAATCTCCCCTCGTGCACCTATTGCACCTTCTACTTATTACTTTTTAACGAATCAAACTAAATCTCTTTAAACCCACACAAAGAATTCATGAACGGAGCTGATACATATATCTATGCATGCACTGAGCTTTGTAGGAATACGTGCAGCTATTTTATATGGATGTGCTATTTGCTAGTCGGATTAAATTATGTGCATTAGTGACGCATGAGTTAACGGGAAGAATGATTTGTATTATTTTAGAAGAACAGAACTGTTAAAAAACTTTCATAGTGATTAATAACCTGGTGATTGGTCATACACACTTGAAACAAACCGAAAACCTATTGTGTGAAGTATCTCCAGTGGACTCACAATTTTTTGTGGGTCCACTGGTGACGAATGTAGAGCAGTTTGCTCAAAGTCTTGAGATCACACAACATCAAATTGCGAATGACACAATGAATATGCATGAGCAATTTTAGCTAGAACCGCAGGCTGAATGAATATTATTTTTAGCTATTTTATTCTGTACATACATACATCACACATTGAGTTTATAGCCGTTTTATGAAGAATGACAACATTGTCAGTCCTGTTAATAGTTAAACAGTTCTGTCATAAGTGATGTAATCAATAGGATGTTGGCTTATTTAACCGATGGGCAAATCACATATCAATTAATATAGTTTATATTATATATACATTAGTAATAAACAACCATTTTGATTGTGAGTGACGAATTCAAGTCAATGAAAAATTAATTATAAAACTGATAATTGACACATATACGAAGTATCGGGAATCAAAATAATAATAATAATGTATAAGAATCCTATTCATTCAATCACGTTATTGAGAATCAGTTGCTTACCTCTGTAAGGGGGCCATCGATTATGTCTGTCCTGGCGTCGCCTCACGTATGTCGGTAAAGGCAACCACTTTGGGGGCTGATAGTTAAATATTGGATCTAAGACCCGGATTCTTCGATTGCGGAACATAACGATTTACCAAATTAACAAATTTTAAGCATAATTTTCCACTGATTTAATGTCAAGGGTTTTAGAAGAACTACGATAGAGTTGCCCAAATATCATTGACGATCAAGGAGATGAACCCACGCACATTAAGAAAGCGAAAGTTTGCTTCACCATCAACCTCGTTATACATGCATTATTGCACTTGTCATCAGCCATGTGAATTATATATGCAAACCAATAATTAATGGTGCAATCTCATAATTTCTACCTTGTTGTGGGAGGATCGATTATAAAACAATTAGAATATACACTGAAATTAACTTTTATTAGTAAAATTTCAAAGTAATGCATAGAAATGTTTACGAACAAAGGTGCGAACAATGTACATATGTGTGCATATGTACATTGCATATGCATGTGTAATGTGTGCATTGCATATTCATATGTACATTGCTCGTATATAACCCGCATGAAATTGCACAGCGGAACAAACAAATAAATTAGTTTGACTACATATGTCATTACGATTCATAGAAATTGTAAATAAGCAGTTAAATTTTAGAAAAATAGGCGTATAAAAATATCAACCAAGTAAATAAGTATTATTACTGAGTAATTTATAATGTGCATTGAGTTTCAGGTGGGGCGTTACAACACCTTATGTTGAAAGAGCCTGGACAGAAACCCTAGTAATTTCCAGAAGTATGCACAAATTTAGTGTCACTTTCGAAATTAGTTGCTTTATTTAATCTTACGTATGGTTTGTTTGGCCGTTTACAACTAATTAGTTGCATGCATTCACAAACTGGTTCTTTACAACAGCAACATTTATTGCATGATTCGCGTTCGCAACAATTTACTCCTCCGCTAAACTTGGTGCACTGACCCTGCACATATGTAAAATACGTCAAATTTCAAAAGTGGTATTATATTCGGATGTTAATATTGCATGCTAATTTTCCTAACCTTAGGATGATTAGGAAGAAAGCATAAATCTGAGGAAGCCCGACAGTCACATTTGCTTTCTCCAAATCGAACCCGACAATTTTCTTGGTCATCCTTGGAACAACTACTACTAATATTCGCATAAGCAGCTGGATTACTAATTATTTCAGTAGTTTTTTCAAAATCTGTAATGGCGTAACAAGAGGTTACATAAATACATGTGTATTCTGCTTCAATAAACGCATCTCAATCAGACAATCATTCAGATTTATTCGTTCACATAGTTTACAGGCAAACAAGAACAAGTACATGATGGAGATCTAACCAGTCGTATAAGTTTCAAAAATGCGATTTCCTTCAGATGGTGTTGTTGGAATTGAAATGTTGTAAAAATCAATCATGTCGTCTGCCATAGATTTCACTGCAGCAAACGTCTCCTCACCCGTGGGGACGATTTGGTTGGCAGGAAGAGTGAATCCATGTCGACCTATTTTATCGAAGTGATATTATACAATAATTTTCTACAGCATATGTACAAGCTATTAATACCTTTGTCCCTAAGTTCGTAGCAATATGCAAATTTGATATTTGCAACCGCTTTTGCCCAGTCATGGCTTCCACCTAGAATAGACGGATAGAATTTTGTGGAAATATAAATATTTATATAATATGGTTTGCAGATAAAATAAATTTACCTGCAGCAGGATATAATAGCTCTGGCGTGGCACCACCCTCATATTTCGTTCCGTGAACCTTTTCGAGAGCTTTAAGTGCTTTGTCCCCCACTCTCATCTTTTAGTAGAATAATATTCTGGAAATTTCATGACATTTCATAAAATATGTTGTTTAGATTCAAAACTTACAAGTTCATCATGATCCTGCATTGATAAAAGATTGAGTAAATTTAACTCTGCTAATTATACAAACAAGTTATTATAACTTACGTCCGTTCGAACATTGTCGTACCCCCAAGGTAATAAAAGAAGCTGAAAACGCAAGAAGTACATACATTAGTGCAAATAGTGATCAAGGAAGACTAATGAAAAGCTAGGTGGATAAGTGAGACCTGAGAATAACTGTGAAAAGTTAAAAATAGTTTAATTTGATCCTTTCTGTCCAAAATGAAATCTTGGATGGCTTTCACCTCCGGTTCGGACGCAGGGCTTGGCCCATGATAAATCTGTGAGCACTGATTTTTGGATGTACCCTTGCCACCCCATTTATGATCCCAATTCCTGTTTGGATCCGTTCCCTTGCAGCATCCCTAACATTGGTAATTAACTTAAATCTGAACATTATCAAGTTTGCAGATTGTTAGCATATCAAGTTATGAATGGTAATTACGAAAAGTCCTCCCAGAATAGGCTTTCCTCCGGATCGAGTCTTTCGCCAAAGTCTGTCAAATTGATGCGTGTATTCATATCCATCGGGATTCATCATTGGGTCGAAATACCAATCGAATGCTTCAATATATCTTGTTTGGCGTTTTCTAACAGTTTGCGTAATCAGTTCATTAGCAATGAAAGAAACTGTGGCTGGTGCAACCCATTCTCTAAACGAATTTAGAGACATATTTAAATAATTAAAACACTATTAGAACGATTTTCTTGATTCTGTTAGCGTTGTGTGCACCTAGCATGGATTCCACCGTCCAGCCAAATTGCTGGTTTCTGAGACCCAGCTCCTCCAGTCGAGATCTTCATTACTTTTAAGGGTCTATTTTCTGTACTGTTTCCCACAGTGAAAATTGTCACCTAGTGTGTTCAGTTTGTGAAATTAGTAAGACTTGAGGCAACATGAGATTTATTGTCAGCATTTCTAGTACTTATATAAACTTGGTCTCAATTGGGACAAAAACGGTGAGTCGTGCTTGTTAAATACTTTTAAAAAATAATGGAAACTCACCAAGGCAGGATACTGTTGGGCCATTGACTCCATCCAGGATTGAATCTAGGAATACGAAAAAGTCCCTTTTGTATTTAGCAAAAATGCTTCTAATATTTAAATGTTTGATTTGTCTTACGGTTTCAAAACGATGGTAAGCGTTCCATGACATGCTCGCACGCTCCTGTCTCACGATGTAATTTAATTGTTCAAAATCGACATCACTGAATTAATTGGAATTAATTATGATTAGAGAATCAAGTTATTCGTCAACGACCATTGTTATTTTAGAAAATCTTACAATTGAACGTTTTCATTGATAATCTCATACTTGGCTCCAACCAGTGAAAAAAATGCCCCAATTGAAGAAATTTGTTGAGGAGGAACTAGAATATCTGTGGGAGAAACCATGCTCGGTGGACTCCAAAAATCAAACTCTTCTTGATGGTACACATTTTTTAGGGCTTCGAATGTGGCCGTGTTGGTGGCATTTACTCTAAAGACTTTGTATCTAATTGTACGAAACATAATGTTTACCATTAAAATTTGTTCTGTAATTCAATAAATTTCTTCTTGTCTTACCCTTCATAGGATCGAATGCCGTTTCTGAAGGTAGCGAATAGACAAGCAAATGTAGGAAAAAATGCAGGACTGGTTAATCCAGCCCCCGAAATTGAGATCGGTTCCATTTTGATTACCAGACAAAAAATCGAGCGTGGAAATGTAAACTGACATCCCAATCTCTTTTGTAGCCTCGGTTAGCTAATTAATAAAGATAATTCGGCAACACTTGCAGATGGATGCAGATGTATTCATTTATGTATGGTTCTTATTTATTAGTGGTCATTGCCACTGGGCCTTGAAAAATAACAACGCATCACTATAACCTTTTAACACTGAGACAACTGAACGTATCGTATGTACCTTGAAATTGTATGCAATGCTGGATATTCATGAATCATATTAATTACGCAATTAGTTGAAAGATATTTTCCTAATAAAAGCCGTATTGCTTTATTATGCAATAATGCAGATGACAGTATGATAAGTATCTAATACTAACTTACGAGATCGTCTTATGAGATTCATTTCAGTACGGGCGTCGTGCATATGTACTAACCACAATTAACCATGCCTCTAATTTCCAGCAATATACGGATAATAAAGTATTAAGAAGATACATTTATATAAATTGTCTGGATGGCATGCAAATTAATATTTATTGAATTTTCTCGGACTCGGGTATAAAATTTTACAATTTTTCATTGCGTAATGAATCACTCTGTTCGTCATCAAAACTCGTACAGCTCCTCCTATACCAACAATTCACTATTCACATTTCACATATTTTAAAATCGATTTCACAGCTACACACATTTGTGCATAAGACGTTCAACTTCAAAGTATAATCAAGAAAAATATAGAAAACAAAATTTTACCATTTCATTATTTCACCCAGGACAAGTATAAATTTTATTACCCAAATTTACAGTAAATTTTATGTCAGCCCCACCCACATACGTTATTGTCATGAATCTCGCATTAATAAAGTAACCAATAAGCTAATAATAGAGCACATACAGATCATATATACCATCCAAAAAAACGATTTCCAAAAGAAAAAGTCCATCATATTCTCCATAAATTGACTTCGACTTGATCACTCTTCCTCACTTGCTTCTTGGACCACTTGTCTTGCAATTACGCGAACTGCTTCCCAAGTCTCTTCCGCTGTAGGAATAATTTGTTGAGGTGGCAAAATGAATTTATAATCGCCTTGATCCCTCAATTCTGCAATTAAGTATATCTAAATGTGTATATACATAATTCAGTAAATGCATGTAATCTCTTGTCTTACCTATAGTGAATGAGTATTTGATCTCAGGTACTCCTTTGGCAAAATCACGGGAGGAACCACTGTTCGAGTCTGAAAAAAGTATTAACAAATAAACGTCTTAGTTTCATTCGTCACTGGTCATGAAGCAATTTAGTAAACAACTGTTTAATGTCTGTATGTACTTATATGTCAGTTGTTCATTTTAAAACTTACAAAGTATATGAGACGGTGCTCCAACCTTACAAGAGAAATAAGTTACTTGGCCAATTTATAAGAATATTAATGACCGTAGGAAAATACAAATTTCTCACTACAAATTCCGGATTACAAATCCTGCTCATTACGAACCCAGGGTTTATAATGCCCAGGCATCATAAACAATATGAAAATATTCTGAACGCTTGATTATTTAGACAAGTCGTCAATTTCATTTCAGGTTTATATGCCCAGGGTTTGTAATGAACAGGGTTTGTAAAGATCGGTTACTGTTTTCCCCTGACCAGGTTAATGCTGTACTAGTAATTACGTTTGTATTATACCTCGTACTCTGTACCATGAACTTCTTCTAAAGCTTTAATGGCTCGTTTTCCGAGAGCTTCCTGGAAACACAGCCCAGCCAAATTAATTTGAGCCATTAATAAAACATTCTTCCATTCATATTCACGTCGGTTGATGTCGTTATGCTGCTTATGGAATAAATTCATAATTTTGTAAGTCATACCAGTTGGTCGTAATCGTCTGGCAAGTCTTCCGTGTAACCGTACGGGGTGAGCATCAACTGGGAATAAGAGTGAAATGTTATGTAAGCCCGAATTCTGTTTCGATTTGCCAACATGAACTTGGCAGTGGCGTTTGATTCAGGTTCAGAAAATGGGTAAGGCCCGTGATATGTGTTAGCACATGGATCGTCTTTTACTCCATTTTCGCCCCAGTGAAAGTCAAAATCTGTGCAATGAGAAAATAAGTAACTGAATGAGAAAGCATGTTGAGGGCAACTCACTCCTGTTCAAGTCAACTCCTATGCAATCATTCCCATTATGTATGGACCTCGACTTTCTCCAGAGCCTGTCTTCTGTGTGGGTGTATTCATAGCCATCAGCGTTCATCACGGGCAGAAAAACCCAATCGACGTTGGCCATGATTTCTCTATCCTCCGGCTCAAATGACATAAGTTTTCCGATAATGTACGTGACCACTGCCGGAGAAATCCATTCTCTGATAAACATTATTGTGCAACGTTATACGTGTGACGCATAAAAAAATATAAGAAAATCATTCCATACATAAATATATATTTCCCTTGAGTTTATTACTCACCGCGCGTGGATACCACCGTCAATGAAAATAATTGGATTATTTTTTCTGAGATTTGACGACAACTTAATGGTCTTCATGTCTCGACCTTCCGTTGTTCTACCAATTGATCCAATCTGAGCTATGTTTGGGTTGTGTGCAGCCAAAGCATCAAGCCAACTATGAATCTGAAAGATCGCGAAATTATTCTCTCTTTTAACAATTTGCAAGTATGTACATAGTCCGTATGCATGTGTATCGGTATGAGAACTAACCACGCTGAGACGTTGGTACTCTTTCCAGTTCATCTCTTGTGAATTTTGTCGCGTGGAACGTAAATCCTTTCCCTTGTCCACAGCACTAAATGTCATGCATATCGGATGAATTTATCGACCACAAAAAATAATGACAACAAATGCAACTGCTTTATGCAACTACGCACCCTTGAACATCTGAAATAGCGACTTTGTAGTCAATTCCATACTCGGCCAGATATTGCTCAACATTGTTCTGCTCGTCTGGGTAGACCATGACATCCGTGTATCGTTTTCTGCTAGGCTCACTCCAAAAGTCTACCCCTCTGACTTTTTGTAGATCTATGACCGCATTGTATTGGGTCTCATTAGCCAAACTCGTTATTGTGAAGACTTTACACCTGAGAAATTGTATTTTTTTTACTGAGCCAAGTATTTATATAAGTACAATTAATTATGTGCATGTCATATATATGTGTATATTTATTTATATGCATTTGAAGCTAAATATCTTTAACTCACCCTCTGTACTGTTTTTCGCTCAATGCAAATTGAGCTAATGAAAGTAAGGACAGGTGAAAAATAATTGAAAATTTCATTATTGTGAATCTAATCTCAATGCGACTGAGCGACTGCAGGCAACGCATATTGCGTCAAGAAAAATCCAGTTCGCCATGATGAGATCTGTTGGCATTTGCAAACAAAGAGAATTTGTTATGCTGTAATTGTCTTTATTATGATTTATCAACAATGGTGGTATCCATTCATCTAAAATTCCAGATTATTCCACATTTATTATGCCCAAAGACTGCAAACAGTTCATTGACATTAATTACTACCCGGATAGACGACTAATTATTCAAGTTTGCCTACAATTTATATGTATGCAATTCAAATAATACTCGTGGCATACTCTTTATGTTCATTTCTTAACAGCGTACAAATGTAAATTTACGTATTCCCTTATTTATTCGATTTGTAGATACAAACGAATATGATAAACGAGACTGTTTCAAGGTCTTTGGTAAGGTAGAAAAGACTCATGGTTTGGTTCTTAAACTTTCTAACATGATTTTAAAGCAGAATTTAAAGCTTGCAACATTTGTTGTCCATTTTTCCTGGTGTGTGTACATATCTATGTATTTATCTATTATTATGTTTTGGTACCGTACCGTGTGAAATAATCATATTTCAGAATCTAAAATTCAGACTAGTTCACATAGCATGTCAGATTGTCAGGTTCAACATTTCACTATTGCATGTCAAAGGAATTACTTATCTGTATGTGCATCGATATGTATGTAAGTCATACACACGCCTTATTTTTTTTAGCCTGGACACGTGAAGGGAAGAATCTTTGACTTCGACAAGTTTATAACTTTCCTGTAGAAAAAACGCATTTATGTAATTTTGTGCACGCATATTTCTTACAACGTCTGGAAAAGACTTGACGCATTCAACGTCTTCCGTCAGTTGTCTTGATACTTTCCTCCTTTCATATTCATTCGAATAATATGGCTCTAATTTTCGGGTTTATTAGTTTTTACGTATTTGTGATTTTTCAAAAAAATGTAAATGGAGCAAATATATTGTTCCTGCATTCATAGTAAGTAGCTACATGTACATATCTCTATCTTCATACTAAAATATGTACAAAACTAAATTAAATTATGTACTCGTTGATTAACCTCCAAAATTATTCTAGTGCTTCATACAGCCACCGAATTAGCATGATGCCGCTCGCCAACGCACTGATATCAAGAGGTCATAATGTAACTTACATTGCTCCCATGAGCGCAGAAACCCCAAACCCAAAGATGCTGGATATCATCCCTGAAACTTTCAAAACGTTTGTAGACAACAGTCTTAACGCACAGTTTGACGTGACCGTGAGAATAGCGAAGGAAACTCCGAACCTCTTTACCATGTTTGACCAATTATTTGCCCAAAGCTGTGAAGTTTTGCTGACCAGCCTAGAATTCCAAGCCTGGTTAAAGACATCCCCAAAAATTGACTTGGTTGTGGCAGATCTTGTACCAGATTGTGGCGTGGGAATTGCTTATAAACTTAACGCTAAAATTATTCTTTACAACACTGTTGCATTTTATGGGAAAATGGTTGAGCTGTTTAAAGTTCCGGACGAAGCATTGACGACGTACTGCGATCAACCCTACAAACCCGCAATGTCATTTTTTGAGAAAATTAAAAGCACTTTACTTCCATTGGGATGGGCATATTATGAGCATAAAAACGTTCCCTATTTGGAGTCAGTACTTCGAGAGGGCTTAAATATTACTAAACTCCCTTCAATTTATGAACTCTATCAAAATATAAGTCTTATATTTTTGACTGGAAATTATGTCACTGAGCAGCCTCGCTCACTACCACCAATGTTTGTTTCCGTTCCTGGACTGCATCTAAAGAGAAATCGTGACCCTTTGCCAGTAGTAAGTTTGCTGAGCTTTCGATTTTTGATGCACTGCGTATTGTTCTTTCGCAAGATTTTAACTTTTGCATATTTATTGTTTATAATTAGGCTATTGAGCAGTTTATCAATTCGGATGCTGATACCAATGAAGGCTTTATATACATTAGCCTGGGGACTCTAGTGGTTGCCCCTAATTTACCCATTCATACCCAAAATGTGTTCATGAACACAATCAGGAAATTTCCTAAAATTAAATTTTTATGGAGATGGGGTGGGGCATTTCCAACAAATCTACCAAAAAACTTGTACATGGCCCAGTGGTTCCCTCAGCAATCGATCTTGAGTAAGAACTTGTCTGTCATTATATAAATGTGAACATTATCAGTAAGATTAATTTGATATACTGTATTATTACTATAGGCCATGCAAAAATAAGAGCGTTTATAACGCAGGGTGGCCGACCAAGCTTGCAGGAAGCTATTTTCCATGGCGTTCCCCTTGTTGCATTACCAATACTTGGTGGTAAGTAAGGACATGCTTGCCTACATAGATTCATATTACACTGTGTAAATATTTTCTAGAGAAAATCGCACACAATTCTGTTGCAATGTTTTTCATGTAATTTTCATAGATCAAGACTTTAATGCGATGCGACTAGAAGAAATTGGCGTTGCAATTGCGCTGGAAATTTCAGAAATAACTGAGCACCAGCTTCAAAGTGCAGTGTCCCGAGTCTTGCATGGCAGTTTCAAGACTAATGTTAAAAAAATGTCCACAATTTTCAAAGATTTGCCTATGAAACCCATTGACACGGCAGTCTGGTGGACCGAGTACGTTTTACGTCACGATGACATGTCGCTCTTAAAACCAATGGGGAGAAACCTGACTTGGTATGAACGACGGAATTTGGACGTTTGGTTGACTTTATTTTTAGCTGGAGTTTTTACTGTATTCTGCATCATCGCTCTTTTAATCTCGACTTGTAAATTTGTTCAATCATGCATTACAACTTCCAAGTTAAAAACTCTATGAATTTACAATTTACACCCATTTGATTACTAATAATTTTATGAAAATAAATAATTATGAATACACATTGACATTTGTATATCTGTATGCGTGAATTTTATTTTTGGTATTTTTTATGATCATAAAAAACACAGTTGTTTACATTCATCGAAATATACAATTTTTGTATTAAAATATTATCAATGAATTCATCGATGAGTATGAAAATTAGGAACACATTAAAATATATAGCGTAATGTTTAACGTTGCCCGCTTATGCTGGAATATCGTTCTTTCATTTTTGCATACTTGTCACGTTCCTGCAATTAAATTTTAAATTTTAAAAGTACTTACACCATGTTATGCGTGTGTGATAAGATTCATTTACCTCTTTTGTTACTGACGGTTTAGTTTTCAACAGAGCGACCTCGAAATGGCGCATAGAAACTTTCAAGTCATTTAGACTGACAGCATCTTGGGACTTGTTCATAACCAAATCCTTGAATGCAGCTACAGACGCTTCCCTAACTAACGCTGCAAGATCAGCCCCAGTATAGTTATCACAACATTCTCTCCCCGATATGGCTTTCAAATCCACATCCAACGATAAAACTGGATTTGTTCCATTCTGAAATGAGATAGAATAAATAAAATGCTTTATTAAAGCGATGAGAAATAGTACAAGAAGTCACTCTTACCTTTGTGATGGCTTTCAAAATGTCGTAACGATCGTTTGTAGAAGGCAGGTCAACAAATAAAAGTTTATCGAGTCTTCCAGGACGAAGAATAGCAGGGTCCAAAATGTCTGGTCGATTGGTGGCAGCCATTATAAAAACCCCTTGACGGCCTTCAACGCCGTCCATTTCAGTAAGAAGTTGATTAACTATTCTGCTTCCCGATCCACTCTATATACAGACATCAGTATAATTTATCATCCAACCTATATACACTTAAGATTTGTAATAAAAATTGTAGTTATAATTACTTCAGGAGCGTCACTTCGTCGTGGACACAACGCATCAATTTCATCTGGAATCCATTGAACATGGTTTAAATGATCAGACAAGCACAAGAATAATGATTTAAGGATGACCCCAAAATCTACTTACCAAAGAAAATTACGCACGGGCTAGAGTTTTTTGCTCTAATAAAACATTGTCTTACAGCGCGCTCACTTTCTCCAACGTACTAAAATGTGATAAGATATTTTTATTAAATAAAAATAAACTATTACTAATGTTGTTATTAATCAAAAATGCGGATAATTTAAATTCCTTACCATATTCAGAAGTTCTGGACCTTTCACTGATATGAAATTTATTCCAGCTTCATGTGCTACAGCTTTAGCTAGCAAAGTCTTTCCACAGCCTGAACGTTAAAAATAATATTACTTCCAAGATACAGTATTTGAAAGATAAGTTGATAATAATTTAGCAAAGCCTTATACCAGGTGGACCACACAACAGGACCCCAGCCGGATTCATGAGACCAAGAGTCTCGTAAGCACGCGAATATTTAACAGGACCCTTTAAAAAAAATCGAACGATGAAAGCCATACCTATTATACTCAAAATTAAGTGAACAGTTCTTACCAAAATTGATACTTCTAATTCTTCTCGAATGTCTGCAAGGGCGCCAATGTCGTCCCATGTCGTATCAGGTACTGTCGCAAATCCTTCTCTCTTTGAGGATGGCTGGACATGTTTCAATGCTTCTTCAAAGTCTACAAAAGAACAACTCTGATGTTTACGAATTAGTCGGCTAATCATTATGGCAAATTCTTATCTGACCATCAATAAATATGTAAAGCTCATCAAGTTGTGAAGAGGAGAGAGGAGCAGTTTCTTTAATCCATCTGAGATAAGGGGCTGTTTCAGGTTCCGCTTCAGGCTCATCTTCAGGCTCCTCGTCGTCGACTTTATCTGAAACTTGTGAAGTTGCTAAAATGTCATCTTTTTGATTTTGTATCTCTCCCGAGTTTTCAACAACTTCAATTGTTGCATCAATTGATGCAGTGTCAGGTTGAGGTTTATCTACATCGACCTCCATTTTCTCTTCCGCTTCAACGTCCATAACTTTTGGGTTTTCAACAGCATTATCAGTATTTCCATTTGGTGCATCGACATTAGTGGAATCAGGAACTTCAGTGACACTACTCTCAGTAGGAGGAGGAGCATCTTGGTTCGGCGGCTCAGTTGGAGCTACAGGTTCAGTTGTTTTCTTATTTGTCACATCATTGTCGCAAATAGATTCCTCGACCACGCTGGTCTCTGTGCTTGATTCAGCAATAGGGACGGTTGTTGGATCTTCTGGTGAGATTAGCACAGACCCAAGTTGAACTTTTGCTTCAGCCTTCTGCTTATTCTTTTTTGAATCAGCTTTGGCTCTCTTTTGTGTTGTATCCATTAATGCTTTGTTAACAGCTTGAACCGCAGCTTCTCTCACGAGTAATTGCAAATCAGCGCCTACGTAGCCAGGTGTAAGTTTGGCCAATGTCCCCAAATCAAATCCAGGCGCTAAACGAAGATTTCGACAAATGACCTCCAATATCCGTTGTCTAGATTTCTCGTCTGGAATTCCTAAGCATATTTCTTTGTCAAAACGACCAGCTCTACGAAGAGCAGTGTCAATAGCTTCTATCCGATTTGTCGCACCAATAAGAAGAACTTGACCACCATTTTCCTGGTTCATTAGATCTGCCATACGGAAAATGTCATGTGATAAGCTTGTTTCCCGAGCTTGATTGAATCGGAATTTTCACAGTACAGTACAAGTAATTATGATAACTTACCATCAATGCATGATAAAAGTTGTGCCACAATTCTTCGTTCCATTTCCTTTTGTACTGTTTCTCTCTTTGGAGTAATGGAATCAATTTCGTCAATAAATATAATGCAAGGAGCAATGGAAATGGCCTGATTGAACAAGTCCCGAATATTACTTTCAGATTCTGAAAAACCATAAAAGAACCATGACATAAAAAATTACTTTAATTTTATTTGTATAGTGCCATCATAGTTTGTCACATTGAGCAGACAATGGCGCTTTTGTCTAACTGGAATATATAAATAACTTTTAAACTCATGTATATTACCACCAGAAATTCCAGACACAAATTCTGTTCCAGTGACTTTCAGCATCGGTAGCTGTAACTCCTACACGAATAATATATGTTGCTTTAATTTTAATTACTCCACAAACAGACTAAATGCGCAGTATTACTAAATTAATTTTTCTTACCCCAGAAATAGCATTTGCAAGGAGTGTTTTTCCTATTAAAAAAAGCTCAATCAAATTTTTGGCTTGAATTAAAGTTTAAATTTTACATAGTAATATTTAATATTAGATATACTAACCAACTCCAGGAGGTCCATGCAATAAAAATCCACGAGGTGCATTCACTCCTAGAGTTTTGTAAACTTCCGGATGTTTCAAATGCATGAGCAATCTACAAACTTCCTACAATAATCAACAAGAGCAATTGTGAATTATAATTATATGTTAATAAATAAGTAAAATTATATCAACTAGAATAGGTATAAAAATTGTTTAATTACCTCAACAACTTTTTCACTCCCTGCAAAATTCGCCAGTCGATATCCAGTGTCTCCAACAATTGTAACTTCCTTTTTCAACTTTTTGTTAGTCAAGTCATCTCTGATACCTTGATTCTCTGAAGATGAGTTCTTTCTTTTCATTCCACGCTGTTGTGGTATAACCGAATTGAATGAACTATTTGATTTTGTGTGATCAGCAACCTGCTTTCGCCTTTGCTCAATTGATGATGAAGATGGCAATCCATTATTACCAACCGCTCGGACAGGTCGTTGTGGTGTCGAGATTTTATCCATCTTTCCCAAAAGAATAGAGGACGATGGAGTTGATGTGCTTTTTATCGACATATTAGGCCTGTTAATGGGAGGAGCAACCGCAACATGTCGATTTCCAGCACCTCCTTCTGGTGGAACAATGGTAAGTGTTATTCCGGATGGAATAACTGAATTAGCTATTGATGATGATGATGCTGTCGATCCATCATTTTGTCCAGTTGGAGAATCTAGTTTTTTAATAACATTTCGCCCTTGAACTTCGTCTATTATTTCTAAGTCGTCGTCACTATCAGTTGCCAAATCTGAAGAAGAGTGTGTAGTAGTAACAGCTGCGACCGTTACTGTCGAATTAGTCCCACCACTCCCACCAGCCAGTTGTACAGTGCTTGTTGGGAAAGTAAGCATATTTTGAGGTTCTTGGACATTTCCCGATGTTTTTGGAAAATTTGCATTTGCAGTTGATGCTTTGTATAAATTTGATACATTTGCGTTAACAAAATCATTTTTTGGGGTGTACGCATCCTGTAATACAACAAACTCAATTAATAAACTTGCGCATCACGATGGGGAAAACGAAACATTTTAATTTCTCAAACCTCCTCAATTTCTTCAATGTCACTGTCCGAGCGATCTGTGTTTGGAACTTGTGGGGGATTACTTTCTGTCTGCGTTCCATTACCATTAGTATTGCGCCGACAGTAATCAAAGTATGCTGTTGCATGAGAAAAGAATTAATTGATGTAATCACATATACCCTTTCAGTAATAGGATAAGTGAATGAAATATAGTGACTTATTCTTACCACCCCGAACTTGGTTTGCAAAAACTTTCCTTTGCATCCTTGCAAACCGGTAATATTGGCCTTGGAAATAATCAATCATGTCGTCAATATTGATGTACGATAAATTGCTGTTATCTGCGAGGTACTGTAGGTAGACATACAAATAAATAAATAAATCTACTAATCGGTCTACTAATAAGAATGGTGATTAATTAAGTACACATTACTTTTTCGACTAGTTGTATCAAAGGAGGTTCTCTAGTCGCCAGACCACCACCTCCACTAAATCGTCCACCGCCCTTCATCATATTTTATTACTCCTCGTAGTATTGATAAGTTTAACGATGATATACGATTGATATGTTACACTTTACGAGTATGTAGCCGTTAAATGTCAAAAACAGCTTGCACGAGATCAAAAATTAGTGAAAATTGATTAAACTCGGAAATTCAGGAAATTGCGGTAGAATTCTTTCTTTCACACCGGAGAGTTTAAAACTCGAGGTTGGTGGCAGCTTGCTTGATTTGCTGTCCCGCTGGAATTTATGAAAAGTTATTATCGATTTGCCTCAATAATTACTTCTTCAGAGGTCTTTTCCTTATCTGAAAAGTGTAATTTCGGTCATCAGTGCATACATTTGCTCTCCTGCGTGTGATATGCATGCATAGTTCATGAAATTTTCATTCGTACATTCATGCTTGTACGTTTTTGGCCACATTCTGATGCATGAAGATTGAAGATTTGGAGATTTGAAGTAGAATGAGTGTTGAACGTGAGCAAAATGATACAAAGTGCATGCCGCCGGATATTTGGTTGGTGCATATTCATAATTCCACATTTCCACATGTCATAAAATACGTGTACAAATTTACAAATTACAGTCATTGAAAATTGAAGTAGTTGCTGCTAAACTGGACCAGTGGTGCTTTATTTCATAGTGAGCAAGTGGCATATGTCATGAATATTTGTATTATTTATAATTCTGTGCAGGAGTTTATCTGTCCGCCCAGCTGATCTGTTCTGTCAAGTCTCAAGTTGAGTAATAATATAATTGGTAAGTCTAATTTCTTTTACAAATTGTAAATTACAATTATAACATATTATGGAATTTATTAGACGCAAATATGGACCATGGGATCATGCAGTGGTTGCAATAAAAATTATTTGTTACCAGGATTAGTTGATTTGAAGATAAAATTAGTCCAAACTGCAAAGTTAGGACTGCATAAAACTTCAATAGTAGCAAATATGTGTTAACATGAAAGCATTTCCAGTTTTCAATAGCCCAATATGTGCCAAATCGTCGGATCTCATTCATTTCAATCTGTAACCAATTGTATGCAAATTAAATATTTGTTTTGCCGATAGCAGCACACTGTTAGCATACATAGTCGGTTAATGATGTATACTATGCTGTAATTCTCCGAGTTTTAATGGGCTATACAATTAACGTCAACAACACACGTCAGCCCATTTCTGGTTTGACATCATTCGTAAAAGTATTTAGTTACCGGCCGGAGATACGTGTTCATAGTTCAGTGACTTGAGCTTAAAATTTAATCTGTGTGAAATGTCTTCTTCAGGAATTATTTTTCCCTTTGGTAAAATATTTTAGTCGGGTTGATAAGACTAGGTTTTGATATTATTCTCCGACTTTAGATGATAAAATTCTAAGAGTAATTATTATGTTTGATATTGCAGGACCTAATAAAATGAGCGGGGATAACTCACCCAACGGCACCGATTCCAGACGGAAAGTGGCCCTCATCACTGGTATTACTGGGCAGGTAGATAGATCAATTTTCCATCATGCAGCACCTATTTCTCCATATTTCAAGAACAACATTAACTTACCCAACGTGTTTTCTTATTTGTCAAGGATGGATCATATCTTGCGGAATTATTGATCGACAAAGGATATGAGATTCACGGCATAATACGACGTTCTAGCAGTTTCAATACTGGTAGAATTGCACATTTGTACGCTGACCCAAAAGGACATCGTGAAGGGAAGATGAAGCTTCATTACGGAGATATGACTGATAGTAGTTGCTTGGTCAAGATAATTGTTCAAGTTCGACCTTCAGAGATTTATAATTTGGCTGCCCAAAGTCATGTCAAGGTGTGTTGGTTTGAAGCTAGTTATGAAGCGCTAAGTTGTGTATTGTATATACTAACTGTGTTCTAATTATTAGGTATCGTTTGACATTAGTGAATATACTGCAGAAGTAGACGCGGTTGGAACATTGCGTATCCTAGATGCCATTCGGACATGTGGAATGGAGAAAGAGATTCGATTTTATCAAGCCTCCACTTCAGAGCTGTGTATTTCAAGATAAAACTTTATAAAATCCCAAAATTTAACTGAATACATTTATTCAATTTAGCTATTTATATTTATACTAGATGGCAAAGTTCAAGAAGTGCCTCAAAGAGAAACTACACCATTTTATCCGCGTTCTCCATACGGTAAAATTTACTTTATTTTAATATACTAAACCAGGGATCACATGCAAAAATACGACATTCTTATTGTGGTTATTCAGCTTGTGCCAAGTTATATGCCTATTGGATTGTAACAAACTATCGTGAAGCATACGACATGTACGCGTGTAACGGAATCCTTTTCAATCATGAAAGTCCTAGACGAGGAGAAAATTTCGTGACGCGAAAAATAACCCGTTCTGTAGCTAAAATTGAACTTGGACAAATTCAATGCTTTGAGCTTGGAAATTTAAACGCAAAACGAGGTGAGTATAAGCATACTTACTTTGCGTGATGCATTGTATGTTAAATGTCAACCTATAATTTTGTATATTTTCCTTATATCATTCATAAACCAGATTGGGGACATGCAAAAGACTACGTGGAGGTTAGCATTAATTAAATATAATAAACCGATAAAATTCGAATGAATTATTAAGCAATTCATGAATGTTACAGGCAATGTGGTTGATGCTCCAACAGGATAAGCCCGAGGATTTTGTGATTGCTACAGGTTAGTACTAGTTTTATCAAATCACATTACATATAAAAATAGTCCATGCTAATACATAATTTTACCCTTTGATTTTCAGGAGAAGCACATAGTGTGAAAGAATTTGTCGAAGAGTCGTTTAAGGTAGTGGGGAGAGAAATATCATGGGAAGGTGAAGGAGTAAATGAAATCGGAAAAGAGAAAGGCACAGACATCATCCGAGTTAAAGTAAACCCAAAGTACTATCGTCCTACTGAAGTGGTAAGTCGACGTAATTAGCACAATTTATGGTTGAAATATAAACGGTACGCAAGTTGTACACGTGCTCTAAGTAACACATTTTGTCAACAATTGCTTTTATATTTACAATATTTTATAGGAATTCCTCTTGGGTGACCCAACTAAAGCAAAGGAAAAATTTGGATGGAAATGCAAAGTCGACTTTCTGGTATGTCTGCATATGCTTTCACGCCACCATATTTATGTTCATTTTATTTTTATACAAATTCTTTTTCAGGCCCTAGTCAAGGATATGGTTGAATCTGATTTGGAGTTGATGAAGAAGAACCCAAGTGCCTAATGTTTTTTACAATCTGATAATCGTTTTCTGCTTTAAATTTTATCAATTTGTTTTAGTTTTCCAAGACATTCCATATTTCCGCACACAGTATAATTTTATGGTTTTTAAAAATGCACCGTGAATTTCTACGTAGTGATACATGTTTTGCAAATCGTCAAATTTTTTCACTTTGTGGAATTGTCTCGAAGTATTATTATGAAAACTGTATTTAACATACGTACTGTTAAATAATAATAAAGTCAAGCCGCACATCTAATTTGTCAATGCATCACTTTCGTTAATGCAGAGATTCTCATTTTTACGGTTACAACCAAAATACACATGCCCCGCAGTACTTTGTGCGTAGTTGTCATTCTGGGGTTTGTCCTCAACTCTTTGCGTGGGGGTGGTCACAACCGTTGTGTCCTATCAGTTTGAAAAACAAACAATTCATAATAGATCGTTCCGGATGGGTGGTCTTCGTTCGAACAAATTTCAGCCCAGTGGCCTCACCAAAGTGTCAGACTCGTCGTACTTGGGATTGAATATCAACCGATGATGTAAGTAAGTATGTAAGCATATGGATGAGATTATGAGAGTCGGTGGGGAAAAATGAGACTAATCTAGAAATTAAACGCCAGAAATATTGATGCGACGGAAATATTTATGAAATTGATTTTGCCCGACCAAAATGACAGATGCTGTCAAATGTCATATTTAAACTCACTGATTTCAAAGCTTGTAAAGTAAAGCAGACTTGATTTTATTTATGGTGTTGATATCGGTCGGTTTACTAAAACTCACACAACCCCCATGGTTCAATGGTTAACTCTAATCAAAACATTTATACTTTGCGATCAGACATTTCAAAAGATTTGTTATCAAAATTTTCACAGTAAACGATGATATTTCATCACCATTATTTCTTCCTTCCGATTTTATGGATTTATGGTTTACTTTTACTCTGGCTTTCTGGTATGTTCCGGGTTAAAGCTAAACTGTGAAACTCATTGAAAGTCTCTCTCACTCTGTGTATGGTGAAAGCTAAAAGTATTATATAGACTTTCCATTTATTATGGTTAAACTGATATTTCTGTTATTATGAGATGTTTTTCTAGAGTTCCTGTTATCTTTTCACTTGTATGACTTGTCTATTTAACGAGTAAAAAACGACTCTTACTTTTTCAACTGAAGCGTCATCCACACCCTGCAAAGTTTTGGTTTATATAATCTAATGTGTGTTTTGTTTTGTGTTTCATGTATCACTAACCAAAGCAAAATTAACCATCTTTAAATAACAACAATGAAGTTAACATATCAATAATAAACCGTGCATGTATACATATGTATGTACTTATATAGAGTCAAAAACTTGAGATTTGTCGGCATGCCTTAGTCTTTCAATTCCAGTCTCTGCAGTAGAAACATCGAGTTTTGAATCGTATTTAATACGAAGGAGGACGCATTAGTTTTTCCAATTTAGAGTAATGCAACCTTACTTTGGCAATAATAGGCATTGGAATCTTATTGAGAAAACTCGTGCAGCTGAAGTTTTCTTAACCGGCGAAGGCGTGCTCCACCCACATGTTCACCCCACTCAATTTGCACTCCCCACTTTGGAGTTATCATCTCCGTCGTGCAAGAGTGAGAGTTTATTTCTGGGTAAACGTGACATGGTTGATACACCACCAACTCATCATGGATTGCTTCAGTATCTGCATTTTCGCCATTCTATTTACGGCGTGCCAAGTGTCCATCCAGAAAAGCCACCCTTCTCGTACATAGGTTGAATATTACAATACATCTTACCGACAAAGTGACAAGATCATTTCTCTATTTAAAAAATATTTCTTGTAGCTCTGATTGCAATGGCAATCCAAAGCTCGCCGTCTGGGAAATTAACGTTGAATGAAATTTATCACTTTGGTAAGAATGCATATTTTCTGCTTGGAGTAAATAGTTAGTTCTAGGGTTGCCGCGGGTAACGGGTCGGGTACCCGTTACCCGCATACCCGCACGATTCTTGCGGGTACCCGTCATCTGCGGGTAGCGAGAACTACCCGCACGGGTAACGGGTAGTTCTTTTTTTATTTAATTTTCGACATAAATTAGTTCATAAAGAAACTTAGCAGCAAGTTAGTCCATTTAGCCACAATGGGTCAATTTATTATTTATCCATTTCAAAATTTGTTATTTGCCAGCAACTAATATTTATGGCGAGCATGTCTTTTCGGAAGCCACAGAGGCCTACGGCAGCCTCAAATGCTTCTCACGTCCAGAAAATGCGGAGAAATTATTGTTAGTCAAGTATAATTTGCCTCCTCTAAAATATCAGTAATACTTTAACTTGTATTTGTGTGAATTTATTTGAGACTCACGAGATTTTAATTTGTGCTTTGAATATGAAAAACCTGAATTCGATTGAAAGCAAAAATTTTATTTGTAGACAATATTTAAATGAAAATTGCATTTAAATCAAACTAAAAATTAACCTTTTTTCAAACACACCAAGCTACACCACGATGGTCTAGGGAGTATATTAAAATGTCAAGCTAAAAATTAGGAACCGCGTGATAAAGAATATTTACTTGCCGCTGAATGTCCACTTTGAAAAAAAATATTGGCGGCAAAGTGCAATTTTTAGCCCGAGTCAGGGCTTATGTACCCGTCATGTCCGTCTGTCTGTCTGTCTGGTTTGCGATAACTGCCGTAAAACTAATCCGATCCACTTGAGATTTTGCACAAATGTAGTAAGGGTCAAAGGAGGAGTTAAGTTCGAAGATGGGCGAAATCGTTCAAGTGGTTGACCGGTGGGGGTCATCTGGGTGGGTGGGGTATTATGCATCAAAATTTCAAAATTGCTGTAGAAAGCTGAAATTTGGTGTAGAGGTTGATAATGGTTTCTAATGAAGGAATACAAAGTAAAATTGTAAAAATTTTCATCTGGAGGGACCCTAGGGGGTGACCCATACCGATTTTTAAAACTTAGCAAATAAAGCTGAAATTTGGTACATAGGTTGTTAATGACTACCAATGGAAGAATATGAATTGAAATTCGACACATTTTCACCGGGACAGACCCTATGGGGTGACCCAGGCTAATTTTTCAATTCTTCAAATCGAGCTGAAATTTGGTAGATAAGTTGGTAATAGCTCCTAATGGAATAATACGAAGAAAAATAAGAAAAATTTTCATCTAGAGGACCTTATTGGGCAACCCAATAAGATGACCAGACCAGGGAGAAAAATATGTGTGCACCAACAAATGTATATGAACCTAGTCACCCGCGTGGCTGGAATTTACATATGTTACATCGAATATTGATAATATAATATCCTGAAAGTTTTAAGAAAAAATATACACTCGTTTCAAAGTTATGGCCACAGTCGATACTGGTGACCAAGGGAAAAAAATGTGTGCACTAACAAAAATTTAGTGATAGCCGATTACATTTAGTGATGGTGGATAAATTTTGGTATATGGGTTACTAAAGGCTCTTAATTGAAGAATTCGAAGTTTTACTAATTTTAGTTTAAAAACAGATTTACGCCTGACTCGGGCTATATCAAGTCTGCACTGTAGGTTTTAAGTATTTAAATGTTCTGCATGTTTTTCCTCCACTGGACGAAAACCATGGTGGACTTTGAACTCTGCCCCCAATAGTTTTCGTTAAACCGGCTATTCAACGGAAAGATGAGTGATAATTCCTAATTTTTGGCTTGATGTTTTACACAATTCGCTAAGAAATTCTGATGTAGTTTGAAAAAGGTTCCAAAAGCCAAAAAGTCTGCTTTCAGAAACATCTAATGACATCTAGCAAATTATGGCATTGGTAACTTGCATAGCATTATCTCAAACTACTGAACAGCCCAAATAATTGATTAAATCAAATTTATTCTGAAGGTTGGCTAGCTTTAACTTAATTCTCATAACGGGTAGCGGGTAACGGGTACCCGCACGGGTACCCGTGCGGGTACGGGTAGTTGTGCGGCGGGTAGCCGGTCGGGTAACGGGTAGGATTTTCGCTACCCGCGGCAACCCTAGTTAGTTCCATGATTTATATATTAAAAATGGCATTATTTTTAATGAATTAATAATTTAAGCAACAGATGAACGAAATTACGCGGTATTATTCTGATTCGTTTCAGTGATGGAGAAATTTCCATACTACCAAGATAATAAGGTGATAATGTAATTTTATTTATTTCTTAGTTATACTTAAGTTTAATGCAAGAACTTTCTTCTACAGGTCGGATGGCAGAACAGGTAAATCATTTTGTAATTGTCTTTGGACCATAATTTATTATTCTTGGTCATTTTGAACAGCATTCGCCACAACCTTAGTTTAAACAATTGTTTTATAAAACGTAAGTATTTTCTATATTCTAAACCTCATGACACTTTCGTCAGCTTTCTCATCTTTGCCCTGAAAACAACTATTCATTTGGAGCAATTGATGTTAATTTATTTTTCTCGTCTTTGTTTTGTTAAAGTTCCCCGTGACGATAAGAAGCCTGGGAAAGGGAGCTACTGGTCACTTGACCGCGATTCTTACAATATGTTTGAGTATGGAAACTACCGTAGGAGAAAGCGAAGACCACGTCCAAGTTTGAAGAGATGTGTTGTTAATCACACTGACGATGCATGCAGGAATGGCGAAGCCGACACTTTTTCTTCCAGAAATGTCAAGAAGAGATTGGACAAACTTCCAGAAATGCTTAACTATGAGATGGCAGGTGAGGAGATCAGAGGAAAAAGTTGTTTTATTGGCAGTGAGCTACTTGAGGGTATGTCAAAACAGTGTATCCTGATTTCTCAATTATGCAAAAGTACTGAATAGTGTGCATGCATGCACGTATGTAGAATGAACAATCATATAAACACAATTTTTCATTTAATTTGGTACAGATTTCGATGATGAGGAAAAGCAGATGACGAAGAACGTCAGTTTACAAATTGAAGAAGATGACGGGAGCGGACATGATTTATCATCGAATATGACAACTCGGCCAAGCACAACTCCTACGACGGGTAAACTAGGAAAATTTGTTCTTGAAAACGGCAGAAGTGATAGCAGCACAATAGTGACACCCGATGAGTCAGAAACCACAGAAGAGCTGATTTGTTCACATTTTGTATGCATTAATGGGACAGCGAGAGGAAGAAGTGAAAGTTTAAAAATTGCATGCTCTGATAATGAAATGTCCCAAAATTGTAAAATGTTTAAAATCGAATATTTGATAGAAAACCGATAGCATGATCATTATAGTTGAAATGGTATATGCATACATATTTACAATTTATTACATTATGAAATTATAGCCAGTAATTTATAGAGAAAGGCATTAATAAATCTGTTGCCCTATTAGCTTGTCCAATTCACTCCCAATTTACCTTTGACAATGAGCACCAAACGACAACAGCCAATTGGTGTGAACAGCACACCATTTAAAAACACGTCGGGTGGAGTGAAATTGAAAGTGCTTTGGAACGACATCGGTTAAATGATACAAAATCAACAAATTAGAGTATCGCAGAGCACGCGCTATTGGTTTGGTGGCCAATGTAGAGAATAATCCTTTGAACTCGAAAAAGTCTTATTGCAGTTTTGTTAAGATGAGCGATTAGACGACTTCTCCAAGTCGACTCCCTGCATTTTCTTCATTCGTACAGAGAAAGAGACCAGACTTGAACAAAATGTTTTCAATTCAAACAAACTCTGAAAACTCACATCTATCCACTCATTGCCTATTTAACTCACCACATTAGCCCAATGTTGAACATTCCTGCCTCCGAGTATTTTATTTTATACGACTCGTACATACGCATACGTTGGTGTATGCACATAAGGACTTGGTGTCCTTATATGTTTTACGTCTACTATTATGCACACGCTGCTATGCCTGGTTTGCTTCCGTCGAATTGGAGGACTATCCAATTCGTTTCTTAGTGCCTCTGCCAGGCCTTGAAATAACAATTCCCTGGCACCAGAACCATATTAATCTTTAAAAGGTTAACTCAAAATACTTTAATGCCTCTCTATTTCCGTCAATGCCAACCCATTTTCCGGTCTTTTCGTCAAAAGAAATGTAGTCCAGATGAAAAGAGGGAGACTAAATTTTAGAAATTTTCCTCCAACATAACACTAGTAGAGAGCCATGCAAGATTAGTTGTAGAATTTGTAAATTAGAGACATACCAAATCCCACTCATCTAATAAAAATGACCAGACTTTAAATAAACCAAAATTAGATTATAGCTTCAAATCAAATGTACATAAATGTTATCATCAACAGTTTTACTTTGCGGTGTGGTCAACTTGCTATGGACTTTACAATATGGAATCCATATTATGGATCGATATTATAGGAATGTATCCAAGTCCTTTATTCCTAACGGGAGTATGATGTATGACGACGGAGGGATATGGGAATAAAGAACCGAAGAAAGAAAAGAATGCGCAGCGGTGGAAATCATGAAAAAAAGAAGGCGATAAAGTGTCAGTCTGTGAATGTGCACTAAAAAGGCACGAAAGACGATTCTCATGGGCTTTTCATAAAATAAAGATAGTGTCTAAAATAAACAACCCCCACATGGCGAAATTTGGTCGGACTTCCTACAATAAAATATGATTCCATTCCACCACCATCGTTCCCCTTTCCCTTGACGTCTTCTTCATCGCCCTTCATTTCTCTCTCTCTCAAAGTGGAATGGAGGAAAAGATAAAGCGGTCGTGTCGGTGTCGTCGTATTGTGAAGTAGTTGAAGCCTATAGAATAAGATGAGGAGAATTAGACAATCTTAACAGTTGGGTCTACCACACATGCACTTTGCTATTAAAATCTACTACTTCTGCATATACTTATTATTGACATATCCAACCGTATATTCTCATTTTTTCTACTTCTTGATGAAAACTACAGTTATTGGCATCTCATGCAAAGCGATGCGATAAAGTGTCTGTTTGTTATTTTACTCCAATGTGACATTTTAATTCAACTTATCCCAACTCAATATCCCTACAAATGGGTGGAGATTTTTTATCCAACCTTCCTCAGAGTTTTAAGTTGTATTCTTTCTTAAAGACCAGCTGAAAGAAAAACAAGATGGAAAATCTAAAACTTAAAACAATAGCTCAGAGGCTCCGGGTCAATTAAGAAGCTCTTAACTCTCGTTGGAAGAGAGAAGAGAAAGGCGTATAAGACAAAGTATATAATTTAAGAAGATAGGATTCAACAAGAAATTGCCTGATGATGAGAGAAACAGATGAGGATTACAAGAACAGAGAGATTGAGAAGAAGAAGAAGTTCTTCAACTGCCGAGTTTCTGCAAAAGTTGAAATACTACAACTTTGTTTTGTAGATCTCTTTTCAACTTTATCATTTCCAACCGAGTTGAGTGAGAGTTGAAATGCCCGAGGAAACAAATAGCGTGATTGGGATGTTAATTCATTGTTGAAACGAATAAAGTGTGGTAGCATTTATTTTGTACCACGTTGTTGATGTGGTGAGTTGTGGTGTGGCGAGGTTTTGAACTCCATGACACAACAGTCTTTTGTTGAAGAGACAACAATGGGGAGATTATCCGTGAAAGGATTAAACTCATCTTTGTCCTGTCCGTCTACGTCTACGTTGAGAGTTACAGAGTCAGGAGTAGGCTGGTTACAATGTGTTGATACACTCGTGTGTGGTTTTCCGAGATATTGCAAAGTAATTGTTCCTTGACACAAGTTGAGTTTCATTAGCATTGCATGAATATTAATGCTTTCGAGAATTTGCATGAAAATTACTTTTGAGTCGTCGTCATCGTTGTCGTCAATGTGATGATAAATCCCTTTCCCGAATATACATACGCGCAAATGCATGCATATTGAAGTTGGTGTAAGAGATTATTAAGTGGGGGGGGGTGATATTTAACGTTTTCCATTCTCTCTTGGATGGCGTGGTATGTAGGTACACAGATATATCTTCTCGTTCTTAAAATTTCTGAAAACCATATGCAAAAAAAACATTGAGACGATGGCTTGAAAAAAAGCAGAACTATGCCAGGTGAAAATTATTTTAAGATTAATAGATTGACAGTTTTCGTGACGAAAAACACACGAGTATGGATGACGTCATTTCGTCTTAAATGACAGTTGGGTGACACTCGTACAAAACTCTTCTAATGTGGCATTAAATTTTTAGTCGCAAAGAAAATGAGACGTTGGTTGGTTGTACATACATTTTGGTCATATGTGCTTATGTATAAGAATCTCATTTTTGGTATGTAACAGTAAACTTAATTTTGTACACGAGTCATTTTGGCTGTCATAAAACCGAGCACCACCAAAATGTCATCGTGACATTGATGTTATGTTCACTTTCCCAGACAGACTCAATGCCACAAGATTTTCGTTGCTGAACGGGAAGAAGAATGAAGGATCTCGAGTCCGTAGGAGGCCCACAAATATCGTCGTCGTCGTCAAGTGTTCCAACCTTAAAAGAAGGAAGTAAGGAAGGCATTAGCAACTTAATATGTTTCCTCATAACATTTAATACTTAAGTAGCTTATTGCCAGGGTTGGTGGGTACTTGTGAATTTCTATATACTTCTTTGGAATAAATATAAACATAATTTTGTCATCTGCTGTCTCTCGAGTTGGTTGGTTGCTTGTTGACACTCTTGTAGACCACTTTACTTGATTTGGTGGCACCCGTTGTGAACCATTTGACAACCGATTTCCGGATCATTTTTAAGAACTTCACTCTGGAAATATTATATCGCTGTGAATGTCTGAATTAATGACAGGGACAAGCCAGCGGCATTGGCTTAGCTGTAGAAAATTAGTTAAACAAGCAGAAAATGCATATATACATACATACGTAGTTTTTCTTATGCTTAAAAAATAGTAATAACAATTTAATGTCTACATAGTATAAATTTCAAGGAATGATTATTTTAAAATATAAACCTTGATGATTTGTTATGTATATCAAATCAAATCATTGTTTTCTGCCATAGTTGAAAGTGGGCCGTAAAGAAAATGGCATAATAATGCTATGTCGATGGATATAGGACTAAATACAAAACGTCAAAATGCAATGGTGGTGTGGTATGATTGTGGGATGTGTAGCAGCGGCAGAGCTAATAAATAGTTAACATAGAGCGCAAAAGAAAACATAATTATTCACTTTTACTCTCATCGTAAAAATATCAAATATTGATACAAGAATTATGACTATCATCAAGGGAAACCTTTCAAATTCCACTTTGTTTGCTTATTGTGAGACGAAGGAATTAACTCTGAGCGTGCACCATGGCTTTCAGGGCTTATCCGACTTACTCCTCTAATCTAATTCCCAATATTGAGAAACACAACAAACAAAGAGGTGCAATAAATGAAAACTCTTCGACTTGATGCAGAAATACAAATGTATTTGCTCACCCACGAGCTAGCTACACAGATATCTAGTTGCATATTCTTTCTTAAATGGATTTGTACATATAGCACATCATGAATGAAATATTTAAGAGCCACACGGGTATAATAACCTCTTACTCAAGTCGACCGTTTTTTCATCACAACCAAACAACCGAGGATTTCATTGCACTTTTACATACGTATGCTTTCATAATACGCCGCATGTCAAAGGGTAAAAGGTCTCCAACAAATTGTCGTTGGTGCTAATGTATTTAAGGATGGATTGAACCCATCGAGGAGAATGGGGTTCCAGGATCTTCCTGCTATTGCATTTCACAGTTGCTATAAATATGATATTGTATCCGCCTATCTATAAACTACCTCTCATAGCTGTGGAGGCAGAGTGCGAATTTGGGATTAATCCAGCTATAATCTTGTAAAGATAATTTTTCTGAATCTGCTCGCGTTATTCTCAAATTTTTAAAACATCGGATATTGATTGGGTTGGGAACTCTCAACCTCAATTCCCAAATTCTCCAACTATGCAATCCTCGCTGTGGCCAAGGTTCTTGTCCTTTGGGGATTAAAGGTGGTTACTGCAGATTGTGTGAGCTTAATTTTTCAATAATTAGGTTTAGTTTAATATTTTGTATGAAGTTTTTCATAATTTTAGACTAGTCACATAAAGCTTAAACAAAGTTTTATAAGGATGTGCATAAAAATTGAGTCCGGAATCACAGGAATCAAGGTCAATGTGGTCAGATTTCAACTTATTATTAGTTGTGGAGCAAAAACTGGGTATAATTCCACCCACATATTTATCCAACATTTAATTTTCAGTCTGGACATAACGTTAAAAATTAAGTGCTATTTCAGGCACTTTTTACCAAATCCCAATTACCCAAAGACCAGTTCCTCTTAAATTATTTTTAGTCTCATTTTTTGAATTTCAAGAAAATAAATTTCTGTTTTTAAGCAGATTAAATGGTTTCGTATATCTGACATAATCATAAATTTATAAAATAGTCAGATAATTACACTATCATGCATAATTCACACAAAATTACTTTATGAAGTTTTAAAACCTTTTGGTTTCACATTGCCTCATTCAGTCATTCTTGGTTAATAAACATTTCAATTGAAGCCAAGAGTGGACAGTGTAATATCCAAAAGTGCAGCACATGCGGGGATACGCATCATTCGAACTTATGTTCAAGTGGGTCCACGAGAGGAGAGGCAACGGCGACCCCAATGCAAGATTGAAAGCAAAGGGATTTGTGAAAGTGAAAACTTTGAAAAGGTTTCGGGAAAGCTATCGGGCACTACACGTTTGTTATTTTTTGGGGTGAGGTTTTGGCATGGGCTCCCTTTTTGTGTGCAGATATCACACCGTTCATTGAGCACTGAATAGAACAAAAGCCGAAAGAATACTTGAATTTGTTGTCTCAATTTTAAGTAGCTTTACTACTCAATTGGTCGTCTCAAAGTGGCCCATATGTAGCACATGACAAATGGCATATTCCGAGTTCATTCATTTCTAGTTCAGTTTCAGTTGTACTTTTCGAAGCGAATTGTTGTGGTTCCCGATTCCTTTCTTGATTTTATCAACTAGCAGTTTGAATTAATCCAAAGTGAAATAGGTAATTGTACAAATTTTAAAATTTTCCGATTTCGCTTTGAAATAAAAAATCAACTATTATATTTTTGTCCACCGACATGCTTACTGGGTGTGCATGTACACAAATTGTACCTTCCACGTATGGATTATTGATTGTCTGGGGGTTGGCGTGTCGGCAGGCGAGGAGAATAACATTACAAATAAGTGATTACCACTAAGCATGTAAAGATAAATTGAATGTTATCATAGTGGACGCAATATGCATATTCACTGACAGCTTGACAAGGTGACAATGACAACAGAAAAGGGAGATTTTATGGAGAGAGATATCCACCCCGACTGAATTTTGACGGGGCTAAGAAGGAATGAGTAAAGTGTGTACACTTGAAATGGGATGGGACTTTGGTGTGTAAGAGCAAGCCCGAAAAGTGAGAATGGGTTGAATGGGAATGAGAGCAATCGCAATCATAATAGAATAAATTATGGAGGTTGAATAGGATCAGCGGAATAGAATATTGTGCACCGGGGGGAAAGTGGATAAAAGAAAGCAAATAAAGCCCGATATTGGGAAGGATGACAAGCCATCCGCAGTCAACATCATCATCGAAATTCGTATCAGTCGTCGTGGTGGTGGAGCTTCAGGGCGGAATATCTTCTATCTCTCTTCTGAACAACAAAAATTGGTTTTTCGGATGGCACGGGAAAGAGAGGAAATCGATGCGAGCGATGAGGATGATGGTGTGAACGGATTGGCCGGGGGAGGTTTTCAAAGGAGGGAGTTTCCGCTTGACGGCCGGCCTATCCCCACCAACCAAACCGTTTATTTAAGGTTCATGGGTTGGCTTCATCTCTCTTTCTTCGTCATCATCGCATCTTCTCGTCTATTGAACACTTCCATTCAATGCCCAGCATAAATAAACTCCCATTCCAACCAACTCCAACAAGAGTTAAAAGCTTCAACACCATCAACTCTCTCCGTCCAAGATATTAGAACCCAACGTCTGGTACGTACGTGCAAAATAAACCAGAGCACAACTCTTTCACATACATGGATATATGAAGAGAGAAAGGTTAAGAAGTCTGCCCGACTGCGACTTTGTTGGTTGGTTGATATGTAGCAGTAAGTCATCACAGATAGGTGTGAACACATAACAGAAGAGGAATGTCTCCGTACCGAAAACCTGTCGCAAAGCAGTGCTTGTGCTGTGATGACTTGAGAAAGACGACGGAGAGCACGGAGCAGTACGCAGCAGAGACGCTCCGTTTCGAATACGCTCACTGAAATCTCAACGCCACACCGAAGATCAAATTCAGAAGGAAAAGGAAGGAAAGAGTTGTGTGTGAGACGACCGGAGGAGCATCCGACCGATAACATAACATATACACATACATACACCCACAACGAGCCTCATCCATTCATTCCCTTTTCTATATCGACACTGGACGGAGATCATCCTTCTTCGTATACCCAACAAAACGACCCCATCCATCCCACATTGTTGATTGTTGATCTTACGTTAACTTGTAATTCGGACCCGGTGTTTTCTCAGTGAGAAACTGTTTTCTTCTATATTGTAAATCGTGTGGTGAAAAGAAACAAGTCGTTGTTTTTCTATACTTTATCCACTCGCTCTAAAAACTAAAGAAAACTCATCACAATTGACTGGACGAGACGGATAAGTTACAACATTGTGGTAATAGCTCAGGTTTTCTCAACTAAGAGGATAAAGACAATCTTTCTTTTTTTAAAAAACAAAAGCCCCCGTTCGTTGGTTGGTGTGCCGTTCCCTCAAAAATAAATCGATTAAGGAAACATTGTCAATTCAACCTTATTAAGTGTTGTTTTGTAAGAGTCAAAAGTGCAAACTGACTGAGTACGTGTTGAGACAACTGAACTCTTTGAACTGATCCAGCAAAGTTTACTTTCGCAAATCTCAATAAACAGAACATATAATCATGGTCACTTGTGAATGGAACTGTGTGTCTATGTGTGTGTAATATGATGTTTGTTTATTCCCATTTCATCCACAAGGAATGTTTTCTCTGAAAACTTAACACTTTCTCCAAAAACAACACTTTCGTCTGATTGTTTGTATTTGTAATGCAACTTATCATAATAATAATATTCATCGTCATCATACCGTCATCATCACGCCCCTTTGAGTGCTAAAAGTTGTATCCTTTGGTATCAAGTGCAAGGTCGCGCACCCATAGCCATGCATACGGAAGATTATGTAATCCGCCAAACCTGGGATTGACCCTTTCGCAAAGGAAACAAAAACACAACAAGAGTTAACAAGACGACGGAGTGCAGTGAAAAAATAAACTTTGATTATGATGACAAACTGTGTTTCTCTTGGAGCCCTCTTTGCTTTTACAAGCAAGTGAGTCGCGTCCTCCTGCTGCTGTCTCAATTTGGAGTCCCATTCAGAGATTGTTGTGTGGTTTTTGGATAATTTTCAAAAAAAGAGTCAACAACCGAAAACAAGAAGACGTCATAAAAAACACCAACAACGAACATAGCCATTAAAATGCACACAATATTTGGTGATCAAAATGCTTATTACCGACACCCCAGTTCCTACTCCCCAGCATCACTTCAACCCATGCCAACAATGGGACCTACGGCTTATCCTTATGAACAGTATTCCGCAATGTCGAGATATAGTCCATATGCTGCAGCTCATTATCCTAGCCAACAATCTGGAGCGTCTAAAGACTTGGTGAAGCCCCCGTATTCATATATTGGCAAGTGTTAAATATTGTCAGCAAAGGCAGAATTACATTAAATCCTATATCTTTAATATTGGAGTATTAGAAGGGATATTGAGATATGCAATGTTCAATATTTCTGAAAATATGCCAATTTCTAAAAATATTGTAAATTACAGCTCTCATTGCAATGTCAATTCAAAATGCACCCGACAAGAAAATAACGCTTAATGGCATTTATCAATTTATCATGGAACGATTCCCGTTTTATCGAGAGAATAAACAGGTATGCATTTCGGAATTTTTTAGATTCAAAATTGTAAAATTTGCAATCGCTTTCTCTAATATATTTTTATTCGATCAAGTAAATTCATAGCTCTCATAAATTCATAACTCTTCTGTTAAATAATTTTTATTTCTTGTTCTGACCGGGGTAATATTTTTCTTATCCTAATTTCTGAGAAATTCTAGTTGTTATCGTAGAATTTCACTCTTTCATCAGTTTAATTTTCAATGAGAAATGAAGCCGAACAGACGCTCATTGTCAAGTACACAAGAATTCGACCAATTAACTATATTATAAAACCATTAAGTTTTCTATTTATTTATTATTGATCAGAATATAAGCTGTGTTCGCAGAGTTTGTACGAAAAAAATCACAAAAAGTATCGAAAAAAGCTGACTACGCAAGAGTCGCACAAGAAGGTCCCTAACTTCTGAGTTTAAGTTTTCTGAGATTTCCTCCGTGTTCCAGAGTAATAATAAATTTCATATTGTTTTTCTACTTTGCAGGGCTGGCAAAACAGGTAAATCGCTTTTTTTAATTTGTTGGACCATAATTAATTATTCTCTTTCATTTTGAACAGCATTCGCCACAACCTTAGTTTAAACGAGTGTTTTACAAAACGTAAGTATTTTCCATTATTATAAACCATAAACATGTTTCTTTGGACACTTTCCCCACTTCCCTGCAGCCTCTGGGGCTGGCATATTCCTGGCGCATGTGGGCAATATCGGGGGCATCCTTTTGTAACCCCTGTTCACATTTAACCCTCGAGATTGAGACTACTTCGGCAAAATAAGATGGGGCACCCTGGGACTATTTCGAATATAGTTTTAGAATGCGTTCGGAAATAGATAGGAGGCTCATATCTGGGGGGAAATAGCGTAATTTTAGCAAATGTGCATGTGTGTTGAGGAGACGTCAGCCACACCCAAAAAATTGTGGGAGCGTTGCTCAGCTAACATGGACTTTTCTGCCCTTTCTGCCAACAAATTTTCAGTGTCATCTCGCATATGGCTAGATTGGTCAGCATATCACAACTTTCACTTACAGCTTTCTTTTATTTGCAACTTGCTTTCACCCAGCCAAGCAGACCGATTGGGTGAATGGAGGTAGCAGCCACCTCTCCCACGCACATATCTCCCTGCCCCGTGAACAGCTACCCCCAGATAAATATTAAAAGTGTAATATGTATCACAACTTTCTCTTTCGTGTGTGTGTAAACGTATGTTAGCCACTCGCAATAATTCATTTCCTATTAGTTTTTAAATTAACCAGAGATAGGTTTTAATGTTGGCAGCATGTTTTTTGGAATTGGATCAATGCATCGGATTCATCAGAGCAAATTCAATCTTTAAATCGCATCGAGTATAATTATTTGATGATCATAATTCTAGTAATTTAAAAAAAATGGAACTTCCACTCCTCCCTATTTCCTCTTGTTCATCAATTTCTTCATCGGAATCATGGTCCAATTGTATATTATACGCATTTCTTTACCGCTACTAATAAATTTGAGCATACACATAAAGGATGGATGTACCTAAAGATTGACTTAAATATACTTAAATCCAAATTCCACTTGGATATCAGGTGTAACAAATGCCTAATTCTTATGCGTTCAATCTTTATTTTTTGTTTCTTAAAGTTCCTCGTGATGATAAGAAGCCTGGAAAAGGGTCCTACTGGTCACTTGTAAGTAACTCTCAAAGAATTGTAGTGAGACTTGTAGTAAAACCGAATCGTTTTATAAGACATCATTGCATAAGTAACAGTTTTATACCCAATTAAAACAGGACCCCGATTCCTACAACATGTTTGACAATGGGTCCTACTTGAGGAGACGGAGACGATTTAAAAAGAAGGACGCATTGAGGGACAAGGAGGAGACGATGAAGAGAATGGTTGGCGTGGTGGTGGGATCATCATCGTCTTCGGACAGAATGTGTCCTCAACAACAGTTGACCCATTCTTCGTCACAGTCGATTAGCAGCAACGATAATAGACAGACGTCGATGACCCCGAAAAATGCGAGTGCTGGTACGGTACCCCTAATTATATTGTAATTAGTTCTTCTTACATACAAGCACACATTTTGTTTCACTTTGCTGATGGTTCAATTAGCAATGGTTGAGACTCATCCCTTCTTCCAATATGTATCCAAGCATGTAAATCTTTGTGCTTCAATGCACTTTTCTCCCTCCAGGCTCATGACATGACTTAACAAGACTCATGTTGAAAGGAAAGATTGATTTAATGCAACTGCTAAAAACTTGGTCATTAGTGGGAAAGATTTGTGTCATCTCAGGTTACAGTTATGTGTTGCTGAAAATAGATAAGCAAAATTATACTTGTCACACAAACTAAAAGTTTAATTCCATTTATTTTTGTGAGGTTTCTGATCATTTCTACATTTTTGCGCATCATTGGCACTGATGCATATCAATGATTAGGGTCATAAACTGCAAAATAAATATGACACAAAGAGCCAACCGACGCAACTAACCAGCACGATTTTACAACATTATTACTTGATTTTCTTCCCAGATCACCAACAAGGAAGGTTAAACAGCAGGACGGTTGGAAGCGGCGGAAACTCGACTAATAATGGAATCATCATAAAAGGTCAACCTTCAATAAAATCAGAGCCGATAGACATGAAAATAGACGACTGTCACCAGCAGCATACTGGCCCATCTGGAAAATTTTCTTCGACAACCAAAGTGTTCATAGACCGTTTCGAGTCCCACAAGAATCAGTCGTCGGATCACGGGGTGGGTGGCGGAGGGGGCAGTGGTTGCTCATCCACCTCCAACATGTCCCCTGCGTCCATGGGAATTGCATCCCCACTGATGAGCGGTTCTCCCCACTCCACGTCCCCCTCTTCCCATTGCATCATCGGCCCCATAATGGACCATGGGCCTCACATCACCCCATTCAGTGTGGACAGTTTGGTCACTAATTCTCGCGATAGCCCACTTAATCATCACAGCAACCCACACCACCCCCTTGACGGCACTTCTTTGCATCATCACCACCATCATCATCACAACCACAATCCGCACCCACATTCCCACTCCCACCATCCCATGAGTTTCGCCAGATCTCACTCCATGTATACTGGAAATAGTGGTGGTGGAGGGGGGTCGACTTCTCCCTATTGTTCCAGCGGGGCAATTCACTACGGTCTGCAACAGGAGGAATTGATGAGTTCTTGTCTATCTGCTGGAAATTCGGCTGCTGCTGCGGCAGCAATCGCCATGACCATGACCCCAAACCCAGTTATTGCAGTTGCGGCTTCATCCGACCAGTATTCTCGATCCTGGTACAACGTGGCCAACAATAACAATAATAATGGAACTTCTTCCAACCAAAATAATAACAACAATGGTGGAGATCCCAACCAACAACACCCGCCGCCGCCGTTGCATCACGAGGGCGGCGGTGGTGGTGGTGGGGGCAGCAGCTCCATTAGTCCTGTTAACTCGTTGACAGTTTCCTCAGCAGCGTTCGAGAGACATGCAACTTCTGAGCTGTTTGTTGAAGCGGCGACCGGATCTCCATGTGCACCTCATCATATCGGTTTTCGGGGTGGTTCGTCTGCATACAGATCCTACTACGCTAACGACTGTGCAACTCAAAAATATTAATGATGAGTTCCAACTGTAATCTATCACTGTAAATATTCCTTTATTACTATGTGTATGGTTTGCATTGTGTATAAAATAGTTGTGCATCTGTATAATAAATGTACAGCTTATTATGAAAATCAAACATTCGTATGTGTGCATCATCTTTCTTTGCTTGGTTATTTAATTTCCTTTAGATGATGAAGAATCAATGATTCTCGAGTTAAAACCTTATCCGTCGTCGTACATGCATACATTTCCAACGAACTGAAGGAAGGGCGAGAATAGGAAAATGAGATTCATCTGTAGAAATGATTTTTATTAGTCATTTGCCTGTCTGTCTAGTTTTTTTCCTCAATTTTAACCAGCCTAACAGCATTAGAATGGAGTAGTCACTATACATACTTGCATATGTGTAGCTCCAGATTATTGGTGTTGGTGAATTCAGGAAGCCATTCTTCTATTGAGAAACAAAGAGAGCTTTCATCAAATGGACACGAAATGAAAAGTCTTAATGTCAACGCGTCACAATTGAAATGTCTCAACTTTGACAAGAGAAGAAGGAGAGAGTACAAAGAGAAAATGCAAATGAATTGAGCCATATAATACATTTGTATATGTATGTGCATATTATATGGATTTTGTAGGAAGTGAATATACATAAGTCGATATCCAATTATGACGATATTATGCATGTCTTCACTGAGCCAACTTTATCCAACTAGATATCCAACCACTATAAATATGTATATCCAACCAACGAAACACAATTCCAGTGTGAATTTTCGATAATTTCTCATTTCCTACTATATGCATTTATGTTCAACTGCGTACTATCTATATGTCGGAGCATCTATGTGCATATGTATTTCTAGGAGCATAATATTCTTCTTTCACTTCTTGGTTGGATTGGGGTTGGTTGGATAGTTTGGCTAACTCGGAGTGAGTTTATTTCTGTATAATGAATTTGCTCTGTTCTTTTGAAATGGTCCGTCCGTCTTTTCCACCATTTGTCTCTTTCCCACACGCCTCAACCAACCATACATACGCTGGATGAAGATTAAATAGAAGAACAACTCACTCATCTTCCACTCGCATACGTTTACACACACGAACACGATGTATAATGCATACATGTATGGTGGAGGCAGCAATTTATGGATTTTCAACATCTCAACTCTTCACTTTCCAGTTTGAAGAACAATTCTGTCGAACAAAGTCGAATTTTGTTCTGTTTAGTAAATTTGACGCGCACAAGTTGTGTGAGGTCTAGCTCCCTCCGTCCTTTTCAGAATCTTTAAACAAATCTCGAGCTTCAAATCCACCTAAAGATCCACCAGAAGGAATCCTCAAGAAGACAGGGAAATCCTTTGCGTATTCTTGCACTCGATGTATGTGCTCCATTTCTGTTTAATTTCACATTTTACAGTCATTGTCATTCTTACACCACAAAATTGATGATACACAACCAGTCACTTGCATACTCCGTTAACAAATTGTAAGCTTGTTACTACCATAATACGCTAACGATAATCTGAAATTGATACCAAGGTGGAGCAATCGATAGATATTTTTTTCCCATCTAGAGGCAAACTTTGGACAGCACATGAATATATTATGTAGGTTGGAGAGCTCCAACTTCCAAGTGTGATTTCTGTGGAAATGCGCAGAGTCTGCGACAGATTAATTGGCTTCTGGCTTTCAATATCATTTAATCTTGGGCGAATAGAAAATAGGAAAAGCGAGAAACAATTTTCTTCCATCTTAGTGCCTTTTACACACCAAACGCCTCGAGTTATTGGAAAATTTGTTTATATTGTGTGCACAAGAAGGTAAATTGTGAGCTAGAAGAGACACGCCGTGTTGTCTTTGAAAACAAACCAATTTCAATTATTCTACTCTGATGCCTTTAGCCACAGCCAACTTGGGTGGAAGAATCCTCCTCCACTAAATCAAATTGACTTGTTTTATTGCATTTTACGTTATTGCTTTACGGTGACAGACACGAGCAGTTTCACTTTCCTGCTAAATACTCTTCTCGGCCAGATCCATCAATTACTTGTTTCGCCCATTCATTAGAATTGTAATGAAAACTAAAACCTATAATTAGGTACACACACAAAGTTTGCGAATATTGTGAGGATTTTAAATGAGTTTATGAATGCTATTCATTTGCATCTCATAAAACTTGTCTGGCGTATTCGCAAGGCATATTAGTATTTTGGTTTTGATTGGTTTTTGTCAAAGCTAAGCTGAATACTCTAAATTTTGATCCAAAAAGGTCCAAATTTCCAATAGTTTTTCACGCCTTATACATTTTGGAAACATATTTTGGACGTTGAGATGACAGGTTGTTCACACAGGGAGCCTTGATTTGTTGAGATGTGTTTAATAAACCCAGAGAGAAATGAAGTGGCTAACGAGAAGGATGATGATGATGACGAGAGAATGAAAGTGCATGGATTTGTGATACTGTCCGATAACAAAGCTGCCGGTGAAAGGAGCGATTTTTCACTAAAGTGGTCTCCCTGCCAAGCCACGACGACAATCACATCACCAACAACAAATAATAAGCCTATTCGCCTGCTTTGTTGCTCCTGCTCCACATTGAGCATTACATAAGGGCTCAAAAGCCATGGATTTTGTCCTGCTCCTTTAGAATTAAATTTAGCGTGATGGCTGAACAAAGCCCACCCAGTGGGGGTTCTCTTAAACTCGAAGCAGTCCTTCATACGTCCATTGATCATTTCATTCACGGGCAGGCAGGGTCAGTAAATAGGCAATTGTACAAGTTGCATTTTCATATTGTGAAAAATGACAACGAGTGAGTGCACGACTTGTACATTTTAGAGTTTATAATCATATATGTACGGATATGGAATGCCACAGTTACACTTCAGCCAATTAGACCTATTAGCAATCTAGATTGTTTAATACATAAGTGTTAGCGGGCATTGTCTCATTCCTGGCTAAGATGCAAACCTTGAAATATGCACTCAAAATAAGTTTGGATGGTGAATTCGTGAAGGATCTCAACTCACTTGGGTATAAATACATACATATTTAACTCCCACAAAGGCAAAAGAGAGTAGATTGACTGAAGTGAGCTTAAGTTGGGAGACAGAACATGAAAAATGGAGGTGTTTTGAGGCAGTAAGCAGAGTTCGAATAAATTGTCTAAGCATTTTCGTTCGGGTAAACTGAAAAGGACAGCTGTTCACAAACAGTCAAGAGAAAAGCTTAAATATACGTATACACACGTACTTGTTTGTTGGACAAAGTAATCATCCATCTTTTTGGTGAATCTGTTACATGCATACACGTAACTACACGGTAAGGTTTGGTGGCATCCAAGATTTTTTGCATCCGTGTGCGAGGTGGTCTTCTCATGTCAAACATGATTTCGATAAAGAGTTGAGATCACAATAACTAGTTGGGAGGTTGTACATAATCCTCTGCTGCTGCTGGTTTCCGAATGCATCCATCATTTCATTCCATCGGTATTAAAAGCGATTAAAATGTAGCAATGTTGGACAATCACTTGCAAAGCAACCCTTACATCTATTCAGCTCGATTGGCTTTTTATACAGAAGCTGCAGCATGACAAGTAAAGAGTTGTGGACTAGACGGCAAAACGACGAATAAAATATAATGATTTTCAGACGAATTACATTGGATTGTGATGGTGTTGGACATTGCATCGTGCACAAGGAATCAAGGTGTACATAATCTGTTTTTCGATTTGTCTTTTAAACATACCATAAAAAAATAAGTGATGGAAAATTACAAGTACATACATGCACCTCCTACATAACACATACGTATTTTAAACAATAGGATTTTGAGTCATACACTAATGTATAGATTGTTTCACCAGGTTGTACATATGCATGCATGAATTTGGAGTGCATTTGCAAAATTTCAGGGTTTTGAATTGTTTGGTTACGTAATGTCGGCAGTTGACAAATTGAAGGATATGCTCAAGAGATTGCATTTCAGAAGATTTGGAGCTTGAATGGGGTGAAATGTTGCTCATTTTTCACACTCTTCTTTCGACTCTAATAACCAACCGGAGCACTCCCTCCCAAAAAATTCGTGACCTTAGACCCAACAGATATATTTTCGGACTTTGCAAGGTTTCCTAAGTATATAATTAGAGACCGACTGGAAATCCACTCTCCCTCTGAACCCATAATAACCGGATGTATGTATGTATCGTGCTCCTGCACCTATATTTCATACGCGTGTGTAGTTGTAAGTATGAATTTTTACCACCATCACAAAAATAATTGCATTACAGAAGAGTGCAGTTGACACCATAAATAATAACTGCGAATTTTGTATATATGCATATTTCGGAAAGCATCATTCATGTACAAAATCGAATCATCCATGTAATTTCCTTCTAATGCCAACACTTATTGCCTTCGTAATGCTCAATTTTCTTGAGCCGTGTTGATGGGAGAGCTGTACATATCTTACATGCGACGAGCGTCCTGTTCTTTTACTGTCGCATTAAGTGTGAGCAAATCGTTTCCAAGTGTCTCGCTTCCTTCCCTCTTTTTCGTAAAACTTGGCTGGCTGGCTAACTCATGGACTCGTTATTACACAGATTTGTAACTTTTCTTATGCATGCTTTATTTCAGTTTTTTGGAACATTCTTCTGCCCTGTTCAAGCTAAATCACACTCATCGTCCCTCGTACGAGCATAATTTTCAGGCAACAGGCAGGCAGACTGTAAAATTTTAGCAGTATTATGTTCCACGTAATACCACACTACATGCCACCATTATAATGCATAATATGTATTTGTATGTATGTATGTATGCAGACCAACTTGCAAATGAAAATGTTTGACACGAGGCAACTACTGTGTGCCATAAACGGCATTTTAATGGTTAGTCGTCGCTCATTACTTGTCGTAAGACACAATTTGATGAACAACTCTTCAATCTCACGAAGGGTAATGACAGCATGATTCCGTTATTTAGAAATTATGTATGTACGTATTCCTTCCTGATCAAGGTTTATATTTAAGGTTTATATTTTGTGAAATATTAATGGTTAGATGAATTAGAGGAATATTTCTCATGTCACAAATAAATAAGTATGTACATCTTCAGAAATTTTTGATAAATTCTGGTC